CAACAAATACAACTAATAGATCAACACAATCACTATCACGTGATCACACCATCATGACAAGCATGTTTATCAACTTGAATGAACATTCAAACAACTATGTTTCATCTCATCACTCTTCATGAACAACTTTGAACACTCATCCATTTGGTGATAACAACGAACATGGTAGACGAATCCAATACTGTTGAAGGACACATCTACGATCACTACAAATGATTTCAATCATGATTCCGTCATCACAACATCAAACAACACTGATCAATCACAACAACATTTTTTTGGAAAAATTCTAAATGCGGAAGTATAGGGTTAGTAAATCCAGACAAAATTCAAAATCAAGATGACATGAACATTGACGCATATCAACCACATACACCATACATTTCACATGCACTGATCATGAAAATCAATGAATTAATTCTTTATTTTCAATGCAGCCTTCATAAATCAACACAGGCTATCCATGAAAAAGTGTCAAACATGACCTGACAGAATCCTTCCATCACACAATACTTCACAACAATCCACAACATCAATAATAACACAATGGAACAAGATCAACACATGGATGATTGCAACTATTCAAGAAAACAACCATGTGTCACATTGTAATGCACTTCATGACAAAATCTTCTCAGGTGCTCAACAACAATACATTCTAGACATGAACAAATTCAAGAATTAATGTCAATTTGTTGTACACCATCTCAGCTACCATAAAAACTATCTGCATCACTCTCCTGACAACTCTTCAAAAATTAATTAATAATCATTTTCCACACATCTCATGTGCCTCATAACAAAATCAATTCATATAGATAAATTCCACAAATTTCAAAATAACAATATCACACTATATACTATCATATAAAGTCACTGTGATATTCTTGAAATTATTCAGTATCGTAATATCATGTGAAAAAGAAAAATGAATTGAAAGAGTGAGACACCACTTCCATAAATTGATGATTCAGTGAGTACAATCAACATGGATGTGTCATACTCATCATGATGAACATGTTGATGTGTATTGTTCATGACACAATCGCTCTTGGAAGGATATGGTATCACACCTCTACAACATTCATCATGATACTCCACCAATAATGATCATAACCATCATCAATAGTCATAGAAATACTCTCCACAATGTATTATACAACATTACAATCATTGGTTTATCGAAAAACTTAATCAATCAATTGTTATAAAATGATCATTCAATCATACAACAATACATACCAACAACAATTCATCATGATCACATTCAACCACTCACACTCACATGAAACACTTCTACAATGATGATCATAACGTGTCATGATGATAGAATGAATGACATGAACAAGAGAGGAGAACTGTACCCTGCCTCAAGAAATGATGTTTTCCGAGAAAAGCGAAGTGCTCCCATTCAATGAAACAATCATGTCAATGAATAAAACTGATGATTTGTTGTTTGAATGATCAGAACATCCATCCATATCAATTTCATGAAGTTCTGTGAAGTGCTTGTCTCGATCGTATTTTTCAGCTCTACCATAGAGCCATCAGCACACTTCACTTGAATACCATTCACGAAATGACCATCACTTTGAACTGAATCAACGATCAATTCCATGGTTTCTGATCACTGTAACAACATTCCGATCATCAGATTCATTCCATGATCATCACATCCAACGGGAGCAATTCACAACAATTCCAACCATTACTATTTGATGATTATCATTTCCATGTGTATTCATACACACAAAATATTCCTCATAAATGTTGATCATGATGTGCACATTTGATGTGATCAATATGAATATGACATGATGATGAATGGAAACATGACCCGATGTTGATGATGATCACCTCAAAAATGCAGGGAAGTTTGGCTTCATTTTTTTTTAATTTTTTTTTGAAAAATTTTCATGTCATTTTTGACCTCGTTGAAACTCCTTCAAACTTGATTTTCTCGAAAACTACCCTAAACCTGATCGAATGCTCTATCATGACCCCCATTATTTTCGTGAGATCTACAAAAATGGTGTCGCTTAAATACTATCAAAAATTTGAAACCTGTCACCATTTGTTGAACGACTCAACCAACTTAGCTCACTATCCAATGATGTCGCTAGCACGAATGTACTACTCTTCAAAATCTATCGAATGATGTACTTGGATCAAGGTCAACATCAAAGATGACGAAAAACCCGACCATGCACGAGAGGTCTACTTTAAGCGAATACAGTTCAATAATTACCCATAATTAATGGATGAAAGTCATATCAACACATAGATATACCTCCATCCCCGACGATTTCATAAAAATTAAAAATCCCATCATTAAGCATGTCGAAAAATTAAGATTACAAGTCAAGGCGGTCACCTATCCAAACCCAACACTTCAAAATGATATGACATGTACTACAACACGAATACTTCACGATAATGATGGAATATTACACATTCACATCAAACATCTCATCCATCATACCATCATATTTATTTCCAACATTAGGAACGTTATTCAACAATTACCACTGATGGATCAACATAATCACTATCGCGTGATCACACCATCATGGCAAGCATGTTTCTCATCATGTGTGCATATTCATACAACCACGGTTCAACAGATCACTCTTCATGAACAACTGTTCACACTCATCGGAGGAGTCATAGCAACGAATATGGTAGACATATCGTACACTGTCGAAGGACACGTATACGAGCAGTACAAATGATTTCAATCATGATTCCGTCACCACAACACCAAACAGCACTAATCAATCACAACAACATTTTTTTGGATAAATTCTGAATGCGGAAGTATAGGGTCAGTAAATCAACACAAAATTCAAAATCAGGATGACATGAACATTGACGCATACCAACCACATACACCATACATTTCACATGCACTGATCATGAAAATCAATGAATTAATTCTTTATTATCAACGTAGCCATCATGAATCAACACAGAATCTCCATGAAAAATTGTCAAATGTGACATGAGTGAATCCTTCCATCACACAGTGAATCACAACACTCCACAACATCAATAATAACACAATAGAACAAGATCAACACATGAGTGATTGCAACAACTCAAGGAAAAAAACATGTCTCACATTGTAATCCACTTTATGACGAAATCTTCTCAGGTGCTCAACAACAATACATTCTAGACATGAACAAACACAACAATTAATGTCGATGTGTTGTACACCATCTCATCTACCATAAAAACTATCTACATCACTCTCCTGACAACTCTTCAAAAATTAATTAATAATCATTTTCTTCACTTCTCGGGTGTCTCATAACAAAATCAACTATTATAGATAAATTCCACAAATTTCAAAATAACAGTATCCTAGTGTGCACAATCATAAAAAATCACTGTGATATTCTTGTAATTGTTCAATATCGTAATATCATGTGAAAAAGAAAAATGAATTGAAAGAGTGAGACACCACTTCCACAAATTGATGAATCAGTGAGTGAAACCAACGTGGATGTGTCATACTCATCATTATGAACATGTTGATGTGTATTGTTCATGACACAATCACTCTTGGAAGGATATGGTATCACACCTCTACAACATTCATCATGATACTTCGCCAATAATGATCATATCCATCATCAATTGACATAGAAATGTTCTTCACAATGTATTATACAACATTACAATCATTGGTTTATCGAAAAACTGAATCAGTCAATTGTTATAAAATGATCATTCAATCATACAACAAGCCATACCAACAACAATTCATCATGATCACTTTCAACCAATCACAATCACATGAAACACTTCTACAATGATGATCATAACGTGTCATGATGATAGAATGAATGACATCAACAAGAGAGGAGAACTGTACCCTGCCTCAAGAAATGATCATTTCCGAGAAAAGCGAAGTGCTCCCATTCCATGAAACAATCATGTCAATGAATAAAACTGATGATCTGTTGTTTGAATGATCAGAACATCCATCCATATCAATTTCATGAAGTTCTGTGAAGTGCTTGTCTCGATCGTACTTTTCAGCTCTACCATAGAGCCACCATCACGCTTCACATCACACAAAGTCATGAAATGACCATCACTTTGAACTGAATCAACGATCAATTCTATGGTTTCTGATCACTGTAACAACATTCCGATCATCAGATTCATTCCATGATCATCACATCCAACGGGAGCAGTTCACTACAATTCTAACCGCTACTATTTGATGATTATCATTTCCATGTGTATTCATACACACAAAATATTCCTGATGAATGTTGATCATGATGTGCACATTTGATGTGATCAATATAAATATGACATGATGATGAATGGAAACATGACCCGATGTTGATGATGATCACCTCAAAAATGCAGGGAGTTTTGGCTTCATTTTTTTTTAATTTTTTTTTGAAAAATTTTCATGTCATTTTTGAACTCGATAAAACTCCTTCAAACTTGATTTTCTCGAAAACTACCCTAAACCTGATCGAATGCTCTATCATGACCCCCATTATTTTCATGAGATCTACAAAAATGGTGTCGCTTAAATTCTATCAAAAATTTGACACCTGTCACCATTTGTTGAACAACGCAACCAGCTTAGCTCACTATCCAATGATGTCGCTAGCACGAATGTACTACTCTTCAAAATCTATCGAATAATGTGCTTGGATCAAGCTCAACATCAAAGATGACGAAAAACCCGACCATGCACGAAAGGTCTACTTTAAGCGAATACAGTTCAATAATTACCCATAATTAATGGATGAAAGTCATATCAACACAAAGATATACCTCCATCCCCGACGATTTCATAACAATTAAAAATCCCATCATTAAGCATGTCGAAAAATTAAGATTACGAGTCAAGGCGGTCACCTATCCAAACCCAACTACTTCACAAATATGAAAATTTTCAAAACGTACATCTAGATATCAGAGATACATATTTGTTGATATATAGTATGTAACCTAGAAATCAAAGATCATCATGAAAAAAGCCTCTGGAGAGAAACGTGCACTTCCAAACCCTTTTTCAATCCTGATAGTTTTTGAAGTGCTTCAAGATTCTTGTCTCCCAAAAAATCTGAAATCTCTTCTTCAGTCAGAATAATCACAGATGTATGTCGATGTAATGGAATTCCTCCAATAGTGGTTCCACCAAGATAATGTCCTGAGAACTTGGTATTTCCTCTCACCATAAATACCATTATTAATTTAGTTTCAATGGTCTCATCGAGTGCCTTTCTAATTTTTTCATTCTTGTCAATTTCCTCACGCAATTTAGAAATGGATAATTCTCCAACATTCTTATCTTGAATCATAATAAAAATCTTCTTTGATCCCAAATTGATTTGCCAAATCTTGTCAGGTGAATGTGAATGATCATAGAAACATCCAAGTTTTCCTCCATCCAACATGGCAATAACCTTCTTCCAACTGTTCAAGTTACTTGTTTCATTGGTCATCAATTTCATTCGTAAGTTTACCACTTCCAAAGGCTTGCAAGGAATATTTTCAACACACGTATTCTTTAAGAATGGAAAGACTTCTCCAATATTTAGTTTTTGAATTGATCCCCAGTTCATTCTAAGCCTGAAGTTGACTAGTGTTAGATGCTCCATAATGTTTCCAAGAGAAAGGACTGGACCATATTCTTCGACAATATGTGAAATCGCTAACATGTTTGAAGAAGCTGTAGCTGATGTTACATATTGATCAATGATTGCCTTTGGAAATAAGAGACGATATCTATTTTCCTTCACTGGTTGTAGAAAACAATTCAACATTGTTGCAATATCATAAGTACTGAGGTTAGTAACGCCTTCAAATTCTGTTCCGTTTGTAGTAAATTCTTCCATTTTAAATGTTGTGGTAGCTTCAAGTTTTGAAATACCAGCAAAGAGTAAATATTGATAGACTTTCATCAAGATTGGATGGTTAGAGAATTGTTCGAATGGAGCTTTGAAAGCAGTGGAAAGTGTTGAACGAATTTGAACAAGTGCCTGATCAATATTTTCTTTTGTTTTGCAGTTCAATAGCAGTTTACGGTTATTGAAAACGTAATGAACTACATAGTTGGGAACTCCTTGAGTTTCTTCTTGTATCTGGTCAAGGAAATAATCAAACAAATTCAATTCTTTAAAGTGTGAAACGAGGGATCCAACAAACTCAGAGTTAACAATTCCTGATTCAATATGTTTTCTTGAGAGCGCTTCCAAATGAACCGCTTTGACAATTGTTGGTGATTGTGATGTTGGGCGAAGTTTTCCATGTCCAATAATGTCTAAAAAAAAAGCTCCCTTTCCACACACATACAAACTAACGGTAGATATTTTTTGAAAGGGTAAAATAAATTCGTTCAAAATGTCATACATGGCGCAAAAGTAACGATGAATGTTGGGCCTTCGTAGTGGCTCATAATAGTTTACCCAAGAGCCTATTTCATCAATTATGATATAACAAGGAGTACTTGTAATACTACCTCCAATATATCTTTCTATATCAGCTGTCAGTTTCGAAAAAGTCTCTTGCAAGTTGTTGTTAATGATACGATACGTTCTACAGTCAACATATATCACTTTGGATTTTTCTAATTGCTCTACTGCTGCTTTAGAATAATCGGCTTCAAATTTTTTTCTCATCTCCGGATGTTTTGACATTCGCTTTTTCCAAAGTGCGAGGAATTCAACACCCAATCTTGTTTTTCCAGATCCAAAGTATGCAGAATTGATCAACAGTTCTTGGTCTCGTAATGCTTGGCCCGTCATGTGTTTATAAATGTTTCGAGTTGTTATATTTTGGCACCTTACACCTTACACTTAGTGTCAGTGCTGTTTGCATTTGACACTTGAGTGCCAAATGAATGAAGTGTGATTTGTATTTGACACTTGAGTGTAAGGTGCTATTTGTATTTGACACTTGAGTGTAAGGTGCGAAATGGATGTTGATTGAAATGGAGGTACTAGTTTGTGAACCTAACCATTCTACTTCGTGTTCAAACGAATCTATCAAACAAAAAAAAGGCATGATTTAATCTCATGCATCTACTTTCCTTTCGTATGTTAGCTTGGACCTTCGTATGAAAGGAGTTGGGAGGCACAAAAGATGATATGTTAACCTTTCATTCATGATGATAGACTCAGCCGTTAAGAAGTATGACTACGAAACAAAAACTGATTCCAGTTCCCTTAATTGTACCCTTCTGATTGCTTCAGCTTGACTTTTGCTGTTACCGTCATTCCCAAATCACTCAAATTCGATTACATCAGCCAACAACAGTGTTGAGCACCATTCTCTTGTTCTTCTCACCGTTTTTGTAACAATTGAACAAAAGTACATGTCACTATGAAGAAAAGCTGGCAAGTTTCACTCCCCTGTTGAACCAAATGAAAATGTTTTCCTACATGTACTGCAAGTGTTTTTCCTCAACATAAATCGTCTCTCAAGTTCATTCAGCAAGCTCTGACATCCTGTTCGACAACTTCATCTCAATCTCTTTCAACGCCGTGTTGTATGGCGCAACATCAACTCAGAAAACAGGTGCTGAACGGTGGAACATTATTTGAACCACTTGCCTCACAACGCTTCACCTTAGAAAATGAGCGTGAGTCTATTCTTCCCTCCATAAACTAAATTTCGTAGATGATCATTTGGTATTGTCGTTGTCAGACGAATTGTCCAAAAATTGCGTTCGTGATGCTGTTTCCTATACTCGATGATGATTGTGTAGTGAAGAGAATTTTGAGGCCCGTTGCTCACAACCGTGAAGACGGAGGTTTGTAATTTCAAAATAATATTTAAATAAATTAAAAAATATACAGGTGCTGATGACACTCGGCACTCAAGTGTCAGGTGCTGTTTGCATTTGGCACTCCAGTGTTAAGTGCTATTTGTATCTCCTTTTTGGGACTACGTGCCATTGCAAACGGCACTAAAGTGTAAGGTGTAAGGTGCTAAAAGGTATGTCCTCAAATGTTTCCTATCAACACATCAGCCATCATTTCAACAGTGTTTTTGTTGTTTTGATAAGCAAGATTGTTGAATATAGGTGCTTCGAAGGAAATAGAGCTGGGAATTTTTTTCAGCTCAATTTGAATCTTATGGTTTTGTAGTAGAAATTGTTTGACCCATTGGACAAGTGTTGTACCTGAACTCAAGTCAAGATTTCTAATGAAAGAAGTCTCCTTGGAAGAGACTACATTTTTTGCAATGCTATAGAGAGTTTTGCTATCTAATGAAGAAACTTGATCAAGACTCAAATCAGCACCTCCTTTTGCAATTGGTTCGCCCAATTTTTGTATGATTTGTTTACTCACTGGCTCCAATTGCCATAGTGAATATTGTCTGGTCATTAATTGATCGAGCACCCAAAATACAACAGTTTGACAAGTGTCGGAGAGTTGAGGAATGCTACTCTTGTTATAAGTACTTTGCAGTTGATCAATGGCATACTTTACACCGTCCAACTTGATATTCTCAACAATGTTGTGGAGAGATGTGCCTTTAAAGCCAGCCTCATACAAAGGCTTCACATCATCAACCGACAAACCAGCACCACCCAAAGATTTAGGAGAAGTCAATACTGAAGCTACTTGTTGTGCGTTCCAACTCTCGTAATCCATCAAATAGAGAGTGATTGGTTCGGAGGATGAAGGTGCTGACGTAACATCATTATCATTTGTTGATGCTTCTTTCTCCTTCCACCAATTTGTGGTGGTGTAAGAACGTATTTGGCCAAATGTGGTTGTTGTTGTTGGACAACACAACAATTTGTTGTTCGGAACAATTATGTTTGGTTTGTTCGACAAAGCATAATTGAAAACACAATTTCTGGGGCAAAAATATTGTCTTGTTGTTTTGGTGAGGCTCGATGTGTGGCTGCTGTTGTTGTGGGTAATTAACCGTTGAACGATGCTACTGGATGTTCTCTTCATTTTGGTGCATGAAGCTGGCTATTTTTTTTTAATTGTTGGATGATTTAAGGGTCTAAGCAGGGGGCGAGTGAAAGGGTGGTCCGGATTTTTGGTTGAGAGCATGAAATCAGAGAGTTCTTTTACAACAAATAACCAATATCAAGAAATAAATGTTCATGTCACAGCTGGTTGACTCTGTAAGAAGCTGGTTATTTGTTGTTTTCGCCAAACAAGCAGCTGCTGAAAGATGTGTAGTATACGGAGTACCCAGAATTCATATAACGAAAACTCCGTGGATATTCATCTCTGCAGTTCTAAGATCAGGATGATGCTTTTGGTAATACCAAGGATTGTATTGTTTTGAAATTCTTTAGTTTTACGAGAAAATCAGGTGTTGTTGTTTAAGGATATTTTTTTTTAACGTATTTTATTGAAAGTGATTACAAGATTGTTAAGGAGACAAGAAAGAAAACTCCGTGGAGATTCAACTCGTCACATCTAAGATCATAGTATTGCACTTGGAAAGAGTATAGATTGTTGTACTTTGAACTACTTTAGTTTACGATAAAATTAGGTGTTGTGTTTAAGGATATTTTTTTTTCATCATATTTTGCGAAGAGTAAAACCTTTCTTGATTTTCTCAAACAATACAATTCCGTGGAAATTCATCTTTTCGTTTACCAAACACACACGTTAGAGCCGATTGATTGCAGTTTATGTCATGATGTCAAGCATTATTGAGATAGCATATCATAGATCTCTAATAAGATTTTCATTTGCTCCAAAGCTTCACGAGATAATTTTTTCAAAATTTCTGGGTTATTCTTACAATATCTCACCAGTAATTGAGTTTCAACATTTCCTCTCTGCACTCCATGAAAATGATAAGTTTCATTATTACTTGTGGTGGTATTTCTGTTTTTCATGAGATGGCACTTATTCACATAGTGATACATTTCCAATTCGGTGGCAGGCATTTTACAGACTGGACATTTTGCAAAGGCTCCCCTAGGAATATATTTGGGTGGATGATTAAGGAATATGTTTCCTTCGTTGAAATCCAAATATTCATCAGTGTCAAGAGATGTTGCAACATCAAAACCATCATCTTGCTCTTCTCCTTCTGATGCATTATCTTTTTCCAAGTAAGTGGTATTTGGATACTGATTCAGGACACATTCTTCGCAAACGCAACAATGATAACATGGTTTGAATTGATAAGAGGGAGGATTGGACAAACAAATACAACAAGTGTCGCTCTGTAGGTCTTTGGAACCACTGTATATGTTGAAGTATTGAGAAGTAGAAGTACTGGTTGTGGTATTCATTGTAGTAGTTCTATTGGTAGAAGCAGAAGCAACACTTGTTCTGTTGACACGGTTCATGGATGTTTGTCCTTTCTTTTTCTTGATCTGAAATATGTTGAACGTTATCATTTAGAATCATGGAATAACTTTCCGCTCAATAAACACTTACCTCCTGTTTGATATCTTTCAATTCTTGCAACAAGTTATCCTTATGGCTCTGTAATTGTTGCATGTTCATTCTTGACGCTGCTGTTAATGAACGAACTGTAGATACTGAACTTGGTTCGAACGCAGTCCATAAAGTCTGAGAATTCTGTGAGGGAATTCCCACGCTAAGTCTCATTCGTTCCAAAATGATCGTCTCTGCACTAATATTGAATGTCTCTACGATCTTTGAAATAAATTGAAGGAAACAAGAAAGCAACAGGAACAGGAATAGAAAATATCTAAACCCTTCAAAATTAATGTTATGGGTATAGATAAAGTACATCACTAAGAAATCACTTGGAATGGCAAACCATAGAAGAAGGTACTGAGTGAATGAAATGTAAGAGTTGTACCAAAGAGTGAGATGAGAACAACACACGTAAAACAATATTTTGATGTAGGGAATGGATGAAATTCTCTCTACAGGCTCATGTATGATCAAGTCATTGGTAATGTACGACTTGTAGAGTAAAAACAGAGCCATCAATGTGATAGGGTTAAAAAGAATGGACAAGAGCTTGACAAGTCGATTATAATACAAGCGATCACGCTCTGAAATAATGAGTCGGTCCAATGAGACATCTTGCGGTACAACAAGGGATGGAATCAATAGGTGCAACATTTTTTTTCTTGAAAGTTTGAATGAATGCGGAAAGGGACAGCTTGTCACGAAATTTTTGGATTTTTACTCTAAAAGAGGACCTTCATAAGTACCGGTTTTTTGTTGATTACTGATATGGGTACACATTGTAAACACAGCAGAGTTCAGGATCAAAACATAACATCTTTGCAATAAAACAAACTTCCCTGTTAGCTTGTAGAAAATTAAAATTAATGTGATCTTAATTCAAAGTCTGTTCCCCACTTGAGTTGCTGACACCAAGAAAGGCTTTTCTTAATTCATTTATTTGATTAATCATAAAATCTCAATTTGATGTTCACATTGACACCATTTCCATTCTTGACAACTTGATGAGTGATTCCTCCAACATGTTTCATGGATGATTGTTGTTGCTCTTGTTTCTTCTTTTCTTCTTGTTGTTGAATAATTTGTTTCAAATCTTGTTCAGTTACAGGTTTTACACCAGCAGCTACATCACGTTCCTCTTCACGAGCCAATCTCTTCTTTTCTCTTGCCAGTCTCAATGATTCTCTTCTTACTTGTGCTTCGGTTGGAACTTGTGAAGTATGAGTTTGTTGTTCTTTTTCTCTTCGTTTCTCTCTGTCCAATCGTTTTTGTGCTCGAACCTTTCTTCTCTCTTCTCTTATCAATGAGATGTTTTGTTCTTCATTTTCTAAAGTTTGAGCTGCTTCATCATCTTCTTCGTAATAATATAAGGATTTGACATTATTATTGGCTTGTTCCTGCCTTCTTTCTTTTCTAATGTCAGCAGCAGCGTTAAGAATTGCTCTTTTCTCTTCTCTTTGCTGATGAATTTGTTGTTGAGAGACTTGTTCCTGTTGAGCAGTACCATCTCCATTCTTTGCAAACGAAATGGTGGCATCATAATTCACAATTCTTCCATTATGACACATCTTCATTCCAAAATCAATCTGTTGAGTATCATACTTGCTCGCAAGAATTGATTTACCAATACTGAAATACGATGGCAATAAGGTTGCAAATTCTCTCAACGAATCTTGCTGAGTGGGATCATATAAAAATTGTTCCAACGATCTCAATTCGAATACAACTGTTTCAACACCACCCAAGACCAATGGTAACTTGGAAAAGGAATGATCAAATTCAGGAGCATTTTGTTGAGTTGCAAATAAATCCACTGGATTATTATCCTTCAACAACTCGGTCAAGTAGTGATTGGCAGTGAATGGAAAGTTCTTTGGATTTTGAGCATCGGCATCATACTTTTTAGCAAAATAGAGAATATTATTGTTGGCATCGTCTTGGCAAGGAGTACGTCCTAGAGTTTGAGCAAAACGTTTGAAACCATCCAAAACAGCCTGAGCTGGATTATTATTCACGAGTTTCAATTGATTCTTGATGGAATTTTGATTTCCGAAATTTACCAAATCGACCATATTGGATCTTGTTAACATGTGTCCAGTAACGGATTTGGCAAAATTTGGTAAATCACATTTGGAAGAGGCATCCATACCAGCCAAGAAGTAATTAAATACTTGGAACAAGAAATACTTGGTTGGAGGAGATAATTTCTTAAAGGAAGCATCACCCTGATCTAAAAATTGAATAACACTCTTGAGAATTGGTAGAGTACCTCGAGTGGCAAATCTTGGATTGGGTCTCTGATTGTTATTTTGGATTTTCGTGGTCGTGTCTGCTCCACGTTGATCTAAAAATTTGAACAAATTGGTCAAGGCATACCATGATTGCACATAAGGAAAGGAATAGGTGATTTGTAATGATTGACTAACAGGTCCAGCTGCAATTGGTTTGAATTTTACCTTGTGATCTAGGAAGAACTTGTCGAGCATTCGAGTAGGTTCCTTATCGTAAATGAAATTCAAATATTCCTTCAATTTGTTATTCAAACGACAAAAGTCATCGCCACGAGTGAAGAGAACTGGATCTGAAACGAATTCAACAATTGGAGGAGGTTTGACCACTTCGAAAGTGGGATGTACTTGTGGATTGTTAAAGTCCATGGCTGGAGTCACGTACGGATTGGAAGGTTTGACTTCAAGATAGACTCCCTACAGGATCACATTCAATCCATGGTGGTTCATGTTGAGGAAAGAGATGAAGATCATGTTGTTGTGTGGTTCATGTCGAGAGAGAGATGAAGGGTTAGTCATGCATGTCAAGCGAATGAACCAGCATGTCAGCGCACAAATAGCACGTAAGAAACCAAAGATAACGCATGATGATTGGTGTCAATAACGTCGATCAAGAACAACAACGGTGGTGGTTCACAACACGGATTTAGACACAAACAACACATAATCATCATCATCATTAGTATTCACAGAATACAATCTCATACTAACCTTTTTAAGATCAAAGTGGTTGTCGCGATAATCTGAAATACGAGCAATGAAACTCTGAGGATCCACTTGGAGGTCGAGTTTGCATGTGTTGGATTCACTTTCAAATCCCATGGCTTGACCTTGAACAACATCCATTCTCGTGATGAATACAACAACCATAACGAGAAGGACGGAGAGTAGGTGCAGTGCCGAGCGCTTCGGCTGATAAGATAACATTTTTGTGTGTGGATAAAGATATGAACTTTTTTTTTCGTTACGTTGTTGACATGTGGCAAGTGGGCGGTGTGTCTTGTTTGGGCCCTGCATGCTTGTTTTATCAGTGAGAAACGAGTTTTCTTCTGCTCTACGAACACCATCTTGGAGTCAGTGACGGGGAGAGTTTTGTTTGGAATACCAGAGATGGATTCAAAGTGGAGTGTTGGACAATGTCAAAATCATTATTTCTAAAGAGAAAGACATCAACACCCTCATTGGCTCATTCTATGCTCATTTTGTTTTCAAAATTGCGGTTATTATTTGCGATGCAACAAAATTGTTGAATTTTTCGAATTTCAAAAAATGCCCTCAAGCAAAGCAGTACTTCTCAGCAAAATCAAATCCCTCAAGAGCTCTTCATCATCATCAACAACAACATCGGATGAGAGCAAAAAGAAATCTGCTGTTGGAGTGAAGGAAAATAGCAAGGCTGTATCGGAACAGAAAAAGCAGTCAGTGTTGCTTTCATCCAAGAAGGAACAACAAGATAAAAAGAGAAAGCACGTAGAGGAAGAGGACGATGATGAGGTTGAATTGATGGGAGCTGATGATATTGATTTGGATGAATATGAAGATGATGAATTTGATGCAGAAGATTTGAATGGAGCCGACGAACAAGTAGAGGACGACGAAGATGAGGATGATTTCTTTACATCAAAGAGTAAATCAAAATCCTCGCAACAACAACCTTCTAAGAAACGAAAACAACAAGAGGAGGATCTAAGTGAGGAGGACGAAGAAGACGATGATGAAGACGAATACTCTTCTCAAAAGCCGTACTCTAAAAAGAAAGTCTTTTCCGAAGAGAACTTCTTTGAAGACGATGATGAAGACAATGATGACTTTTCCGAATACACTGAAGAGGAACGACAACGATTGCAACAACTCTCAGAAGAGGAACGACAACGATTGGCACGAATTGAAGAAGAATCTCGGTTAGAAATGGAGGACGATGCACAGAGACAGGATAAACCTAGTGTCATGTCTGAATATTTAGAGGGTATGTATTCTTGTTGAAATATGAACAGAAGATGGAGCAATTTACTTTTTCTATTCCCTGGTTACACTTTCACATATTATACTATTAATGTTTTTGAATGTTTTCGACACTAAATAGACCACGAAGAACTTCCCGATACAGAGGGAGGTGATATTGGAATTGCTGGTCTCACAGAAGACTTGACTAAAATTCATGAACGTATTCAAGAGAATCTCTCAGTTTTGGCTAACTTTAAGGAATTAAGAGAGGAAGGATTTTCTCGTGAGGACTATCTTAAATTATTGAAGGCAGATTTATCACTCTATTACGGATACAATCCAGAATTAATTGATGTTTTTGCTTCCATGTTTTCGTTACCTGAATTGATTGAATTTTTGGAAGCTAACGAAAAACCTCGTCCACTCACAATCAGAAGTAACATTTTAAAAACAAGAAGAAGAGAATTGGCACAAAATTTAATCAATCGTGGTATCAACTTGGATCCTCTCGATAAATGGTCAAAAGCAGGTTTAAAGATTTATGATGCCAATGTACCTGTCGGTGCCACTCCTGAATATTTAGCTGGACATTACATGTTGCAAGGAGCTTCTTCATTCTTACCAGTGATGGCCCTTGCTCCAAAAGAGAATGAAAAGGTTATTGACATGGCTGCTGCTCCTGGTGGTAAAACAACATATTTATCTGCTCTCATGAAGAATACAGGAGTGATTTTTGCCAATGACGTCAACGTTGACCGTACTAAGGCTCTTATTGCGAATATTCACAGAATGGGCTCACGTAATTGTATTGTTGCCAACTATGATGGTCGTGATTTGCCTACGGTATTGCCTACAAAGGTTGATAGAGTGTTGCTTGATGCACCATGTACTGGTTTAGGTGTTATTTCTCGTGATCCTTCAATTAAATCCCAAAAGGGAAAGAAGGACATTGAGCTGCTTTCCAAGTTGCAACGTGAATTAATTTTGGCAGCCATTGATTGTGTCGATGCTGACTCCCCAACAGGTGGTTATATTGTATATTCTACTTGTAGTGTGAGTGTGGAGGAAAATGAAGCAGTCGTAAATTATGCTCTCAAGAAGAGACATGTGAAAATTGTGCCAACTGGACTTCAATTTGGTAATCCTGGTTTCATCAAAATTGGAGAACGTCATTTTGATCCAAGCTTAAAATTGACTATGCGTTACTTCCCTCATGTACACAATATGGATGGATTTTATGTTTGTAAATTGAAAAAGCTCAAGAATGGAAAGAAACTTTCGGAAGATGAACAAGAACGTGAAGACAAATTGGTTGAAAAGGAGAAGGAGGATAAAGCACACGAAAAACAACGCAGAATTAAGGAACAACAAGAGCGTGAGGAAAAGAACAAGAAATTATTGGAGGAGGCCATCAAGCTTGCAAATGGCAACGAACAAGCAGGCATTGAACTTTTCCACAAGCGAAAAGAAGAATTGGCTCATCGAAAGAAATTCAAAACAACAAAACGAGCACAGGACAAATTCAGGCCTATTCATGAACGATCAAAATCACAGAAAAATAAGCAAAAAGCAGGATCCGTGGTGAATTATGTGTAATTTCACATGGAGTAAATTAATTATTGGCTTGTCTTATGTGAAACACTTGTGTCAATGAATGCCTAATCTACAGAAAGCGACGAGGACAATATTTACGTCTGTGTTGGGTCCAATATTTTCATTGATTTATTTACTTTGTATGTTTTCCTCGCTTATTTCTTTGGCCTTTTCCTCTCGTAATGTTGTTTCCTCTTTTTTGTTGATTGTTATAGCTGCTGGAAGCTTTTGAACTTCCTTCGTTATGTTCTCTCTTCACCTTCTTTTTCTTTCCTTGCTTGTCGTTACCATCCACTTCCTTACTAAACTTTCTCTTATGTTTCTTTAGCTTTTTTCTCATGACAATCCAACTTGGAATCAAATCATAAAATTGAATAAATTCAGGACGAGATTTCTTGAGGGCCTTTGTGAGTGTCACAATGTTTTCAATACATTTGAAAATTTGAGTTTTTGTTCTGACCTCCTCTGCGTTCTTTTCTTTTCCTTCCTTCTTCAATTGGTCGATGAGCGACTTCAATCGACCTACATAGGGAGAACAGACTTGTTCCAACACATGAAGTTTTTGAATCATCTCTTGTCGAAGATGCTTATAGTCTCCAAATGTGTCTGATGGTTGGCCAGTAACAATCTTAATACCGCAAACGGCGTTTAACGAACCAGGGCTCTTAATGGCCAATCGGTGGAAAATTAGTAGATAGCACTCAATATTGGTAAAGTTTAACACTGCAGAGGCATCTGCTTTTTCTGGAATTTCGCTTTTGAGAGCGTCATAGATGGTTGGTATAAAAGTACGAGAGTAGTATTCTGATGTACAGTGTGCAATCTCTGCAATAGTTCTTAATGTGACGACTCGTAATTTGTCATCTTCGACATTAGTGTTTTGTAAATCTTTGAGATTTGGAAATACATGTTTCATGAGGAATGGGAAGTAAGGCGAGTTTTCTTTTTGTTCGGTCATTCCTTTCTTTGCAGCTCTTAAGAAAGAAAGGAATTTACGTAATTTCCACTTGTCAGCATCATCTTTCAAATGGAGAGAACTCTCAACATCAACAGGACAGTGATTTTTAAGAAACTTCATCCATGCTACCGTGTCATTCTTAAACATTTTCAATTTTGAAATAAGAGACAAAAATAATCTCATGTTTTCAGCCTCCTTTTCATGATTTAAAAACGACTCTGATGACGAAGTGAATATGGACAAAATCTTTTCAGCATCCTTGAGAAATTGTTCTTGCACCTTTTCATCTTGAAATTGAAGATTAATATTCTTCTTTTTCATGATATCAGAGAGATAATCTATGGCTTTCTCCCTTAACATTGCTTCATCACCCGATGAAGGGCTTGCAATTTGTTGCAGAGCAGAAGCAAAGCAAGTCTTGGCATCGAGATCCATCAATTCATTCAAACAATCTTTCACAATTTGAGTTTCACCAGCATCTGCATCTCTCAGCAATTGAATTAATACACTAGTAATGATGTGAACTTGAGAATTCCACAATTGACAAAGCTTTGGCAATGCTTTGATTGCTTGTATTCTTAAACCTCTATCTTCGTCTTCGCATAAATCCAACTGGCTATTCAAAATTTCTGTGGACAATGATGGAAAATGAGCAGCGTACTTCGGAATGAATTGGCAGGCAAGTTCTTTAGCTTTCTTGGAGTGATTGGGTGAGACAGATGCCAGAATTTTCTGGAAAGTTGTCTTGTACTATTGTTGTTGATGAACGAGTGATCATAAATCATGATAATAATCATATGTGTTATTGTGATAATTCCGAATATTGTTTGTTGTGGTATTGATGAAATATTGCAACAAGGTAACCAATTATGATCATGGCTCGATCAAACAATACCTACCTGACTCTCTAAATTTGGTGATGATGAAGAGCCTCCTTTGTATCCTCCCAAAGCTTCGCTTAACTCTTCCTCACATTTATACAATTCTTCAATCTCCTTATCGGATGAATCCGGAACGTGAACATAGAGCACCTCTCCACCTTTAGTAGTAATGGTTCGAGCAGAGGATGACATGATGAGCTTAGTGTTGTTGAATATTTTTTTTTGATTTTGATAAAATTTTTTTAATACACCTTCAAACAATTTCCTAATTTGAATGTTGGCTGACTTCACACAACAGCAAGATTTATTTCACAATGAAGAGAGAATACACTCACACCATGAAGAAATTCACAAGAAGGAGACTTGTTCTCACTCAATCACTCACAATTGAACATGTTCACTTAAATAGCAGTCTTCAATTGCTTAATGGCTTCTTGAATGGGCATTCCTTGATCCTTGGATCCAACCACCTCAAAGCACACATTCTTAATAGAATCATCACACAAGAGATCACACAATAAACAACTCAAATCCTCTCTTGGAATGACACATTCAATATTCTTATACTTGTCTCCCAGGGTTGGCTTTCCAATTAAAATCTTATTCCATGCAGGTTCATCTTTCAAATCTCCACATCGAACCACACAATAAGGAAGATTCTGACATTCACACATGATGAATTGATCGAGTTTGTACTGATTGATACCAAATTCCTTATTATTCTTGACGCAATCACAAATCAACTTGTTGGACCAATCTTGTGTGCTGCTGCTGCTACCTGTACCACCAACTTCTCCTCCAACCTTGTCGCAACCTAAGGCACTCATACAAATGAATTTTTTCACATTACTCTTCATGGCAGCATTGGCCAAATATTTGCCTGAAATGTACTCGACTCGACGAATGTCCTTGGGATCTGTGGCACCTGCAGCATCAATGACGTAGTCGCATCCTTTCAAGTAATTGACAAAGTCTTGTTCTTGAAGTTTGGTCAAATCTCCCACACAAACATCGGTGCAACCAAATTTGGTAAGATTTTGTTTTTCACTTTCGTCTCGAACAAGTCCCTTGACTTTGAATCCTCCCTTTTCGCAAAGTTTTTGACAAAGAATGGAGCCGAGACCTCCTGAAATTCCAGTGATAAAAACACACTTGTTATTGGTTGAGGAAGTGGTTTGAGTGGACATTGGTAATGAATTTTTTCTAATGTTGAGTTTGACTTGAAGGAGAAGGTGCTTTTCAATGATAATCGTAAAGAGAGAATGACGAAAGAGCAGGAAATTCTCTGTTTTGATATTGGATATAAATGGAAAAGATCGTCTTTTGGTGGTCAAGAAATGGTAAGGGGACTTTTATGAAAATACTGTGAGGACGAGAACAAGAATGGTGGTTGGAGTGAAATGGTGTGAAAATGGAAAGAATACAACTTTGCATCTCATTACGAGGAATGAACGTTGCTTTTTTTGGAAATCGACATTTTGTAAAGTAAGGTGAAGCATTTGTGTAAAACCTAAACATGTCAGCCATTGGTTGTATCACACAACAACGAAAGAAAGGAAGATAGGACGTTTCAAATGTTAGATACTGTTATTCCTCTCGACTTGATCATTCACATAATCGTATGCTCAACTTGATCATTCACACACTCATAATATCAATCTTCCACTCACTCAATACAATGAATATTCTCGTGGTCGATTCATTCCAGCACTTGCTTGCAATTTTTCAAGAATATCCTTTTTCACATTTTCCACATCTTTCACATGAACACATACAGTCAATCCATATTGAGCCATCACAATATTAATGTTTGCTGTAATAGCACCTCTTCGAATTTGTTTCGTTTTCTCTCCAATAAAAGTCACTCCAACATACTTGTCTCTCTTGACATCATCAAATTCAATCGCTCCAACTTTAACAATGGCATGAAGAGATTTTTCTGGAGTCATTTCTTGAAGCAAATCATCAAGTTTAGCTCCTTCCTTACTGAACTTGAGGAATTTTTGATCCTTCTCGTCATATTCCATCGTGACAAATGAAATTTCTGTAGATTGTCTCATTCTTTCATAAGAGTCCTTAATTTTATCTTCGAAACGAAGGAGAGTTTGTCCAAAACCATTTCCATTACCACTTCCAGTTGGAGATGAAAGAGAGGCTCTTGGAGAAGATGTTCCTAATGGAGACAAGGCTGCAGTCACGCTCAATCTCTTAGAAGCCACAGACGATGATGAATTGGTGCTGCTACTTGGCTGATTCACTGGTAATCTCATAAACGATGCATTTCGAGGTCTTCGATCAAGACTTGTCACAACTGAGGGTGCTGAACTTGTTGTGACAAAACCATGATTGGTTGCTGAAGAAGCAGAAGAAGGAGATGGAACTCTGGTCTTGATACTAGCTGCAGGAACGGTCAATTTTCCTAACTTGTTCAACAACAAGTCCTGAAAGAGAGTAGAATCCAATGAAGGAACACTGAACTTGTGATAACTTTCAAGATTTTCAACAATCTTGGACTGAGTGAAATCTTGAACTTTTTTCAATACGCTTTCATCAACACTGAGATTTTCATCTGAAACCACTCGATCTGTGCAAGCAACATCGTGATGAGAAGAGAATAACTTTTTCAATTCAGTCTTTTCTTTCAACAAGTTCTCCAATTCCATTCTCTTTTCTTGTGATTTTTGTTCGAGTTCAGTGGTCAATGATTGAGCTCGATCTTGGATCATTTTGATGAGCATTTCAGTGTCGTGTTGAATTTGGTCGAGACATTTTTGTTTGGTCTCGGAGAGGAGTTGGAGTTGAGTTTGGATTTGTTGATCAGTGGCAGATTGACGGTTCTCCCAGTTGGTGAGCAAGGATTCGACAAGCGGTTTGCTGTAACTTGTGGACATTTTTTGAAAGTGTGAAAAGAAAAATGAGTGGTAGCCATTTCCGAATTGCAACGGATTTTGGGTTGTCAAATTGGATAACACATGACAGATCTTGACAAGTGATGGTGGAATAACATGTCGTCTTTAAATTCCACATAAAATTTATTCAACATCTTGAGGACACGATGAACAAGATTCCCAGTAAAGTATGGGAGAGATTGAACCACCACAAACTACGCCATAAGAAAACTGCCAGCGAAAAAATTCGACTCAAAAAGGCAAAAATTTTTTGACAACGAAATGCAGAAACTCCGGGATTGGTTCAGAATCTTGTAAAGTTTTATTCAGTGCTGACGTTCGTTCATTAAAAGTGTCCTCCTGATTAAGACCACACCTATTGTACAAAGCCAGTTACTAAAGTTTCGAAAGCAATTCTCTTCAGCGCTCATCTCTCGTTCTCTTCCCACAGAAGAACTGTCCTATACAAGGATTAGTTGATTGTTGGTGATAATACTCACATTCACAGTAATTACTCCGTTCAACAAGTTTCTCGTTACACGATAAAAATCCATCTTTTGTTGTACTGATCACTTGGTGTCTAAGTTACATCAAAGTTGCTGTGTCATCTTAGTTTAGGTGTGTGATTTAAAATACTCGACCTCATCTTTAGGTGAAGGCATTTTTTTTCGAGTGAAAATCGATGTCAACTTGAAAAATTAAATTACAACAAAAAGTAAAAAATTTAATTTAATTTTTAACAAAAAATTTATTACACATCACAACTTTGGGAAAACATGTTCATGGCATCGCTTTCATCGTCGTTGTCATTTGCATTGTCCTTGCCATATTGAACGTTTGAAATTGGATCATATTTGGAGGTTATTTCATGTTCTTCGTGATCTTCGCATCGGGTACACACTTCGGAGAGAGATTTCCCTGGTACAAAAGACAACAAGGCAACATTTTCCTCTTGGAATGAGAAGATCGGGTAGGGTATTGCAAGAAATTGCTTGTACTTCTCATTGTTTCGTTGCCTGTTTTGAAAGGGAATTTTCAAATCTCTACATACCATGAGTCTCCTAATTTTCGGAAGCATGAACTGGATCAAACTTTGATCTTTACATGTCGGAAACATTCTGTCCAAATAATTATACTTTCCTCCATTGTTGGATGTGTTTTTCATACGCCTTTCATCATCAATGTGTGCTCCTTCGAATCCCTGTGTTTCAAAGTGAACCAAATTTCCGTATACTTTGATTAAAGGAATTACATGATGGAATAGAATATGCATATACCAACTTTGAGAACCACTATCAGTATAAAGAGATTGAACCACTTCTTCCATCTCATTTAGCTTGAGTTGAAGGTTATTAAGTTCGGATTCAGAAAAGGATTCATTTTGAAGTAATTTCAACACATTTCTAAATTTGCTCATTAATGTGATATATTGAGGAACGATTACCTTACGTAATCTTCTCAAATTGCTTAAAATGGAATTAACTTGTTTTCCGGTTAAGTAACACTTCAACTTTTGTCCTTTCTCAGTTATTTTGAAATTATTGAGATTTGGAATCTTGCGAATGATCCTGACAATAGTTTCTCGTTTGTTGCTCGTCATTATTGCATCAATTAATATTCTTTCCATTATTCGTTCTTTCATATGGAGCAAACAGATGACAATTTTGAATGGACTAACTCCGAGCAGACAACCCAACTGTTCTTTGCTTCTAGCGAGGTGAAAATGGTCACAAAAAGTATTCAATGTATTGCAATATGGACACATTTGTGAAAATTTAAGATTAGAGATACGCTTTAACGAAAGAAGATCTGTTGTGACACAAAAATCCACCTTGTGATTTACTCCATCAACATCCACCCCATGACATGTCATCGATTCAATCATTACTCGAATAATTCCAGTTATTGCTCGAAGTTGATTTTCTTTTCCCTTCCAAACAGCCACAGGATGGACTGCTTCTCTTGATTGAGGACTCCCAAAATTTTTCATATTTAATGGAGCGCATGCGAATGTAACACGGCCTTTAGATCCATCGAGATTGAGTTTGAACCACTTAATTTTTGTTTTCCAATTTTTATCCTCTTCGTTGAGATGAGCAGCTAATTCCTTGTCTGTTGATATTTGTTTTACCCATTGTACATATAATTCAATCATATATTTAACTAAAGAATAAAGGCTGATGAAAAAAATATTTTCATTCTTCTCATGTGTCCCTTTAAATTCAATTAAGGCCTTAATACTAACTACAGATTGAACTGATGACATACTTGAGAGAGGAGTGGTTTTGGAGCTTGAAGATGACACCAGTTCCTTATATTGAGTGTTACTGATTTTGGCTTTGTCTTTCGCTTGGATATCAAGTAACTTTTTCCGTACTACTCGCAACTTTCGTTTTGTCACTTTTTTTCTTTGATTTGTCTCTTCACTCGATGAAGAAGCATCACTTTGCGAATAATCATCGTCCTCCCAATCCATTTCATCATCGTCATTTGAGCTTGTTTGTAGAGCTACACTACTGCTTACAGGTTCTTCTTGTGAGATTGTTGATGTTGTTTCATTAATTGCTTCACTTGATTGATGTTCTTCATATTCATCAAAATTTTCATCGATTTCAGAACTAATTTCAGATGAAACAGGATCATCGAGATCATTTGGGTAATCATTAATGGCAATAGGGTTTGTTTTTTCTTGTTTGTTTAGATACATTTCGATATATGAGTCATATTCTGGTATTTTTTTGTTTGTGACTAATTTTCGAACTTTCGTGTCAATGTCATCATAATCCTTTCGTTTGCTTAATGTTCGATAAACAATATCGGGAAACATGTCAATCAATAGATCGAAAAATTCAGAGAAATTTGAAATTCCATTATTATACAGCAAAAGTTCGATTCCGCAAAGTAATGATCCGAGCTTGCTTTTTGTATATTGAGATTTGTCTTGTTCAATCATACTTTTGGTTGTTTTTTCACTGCCTTTTTTACATGTCAACAACAACTTCCCATTAGATTTCGTCTCTTTTTCGAATTGATGAAATTCTTTCTGCATCTTGTCAATAGATGGATTTGCAATATTAAAATGTAATGAGTTACATATCGCAAAACTCTTGTTCTTTAATTTAATAACAGCATCTCCTTGGAGCTTATACTGAGAGAAATTGAGATCAGCATTATCAATAATATTTTTCAATTTGTTTTCTGTGCTCGGTGGTCTTCCTCGCTTTTGTTTTATGCGAGTGAAGCCATCGACAAAAGTAATTGTTGTATTTTGTTGTGTGTTTGAATGTTGGTTTGATTGATTGGTTTCATGTTGTGAAGGTTGAGATGATAATGTGTTCGGATTGTCAAGGTTATGTTGGGTTGTGGAGAAATTATGAGAAGATTGTGTGATGTATTGCTGATTGAATTGTGGATAATAGGATTGATGATTTTGAAATAAATGTTCACATCCTCCATATTGAATAGGGATATTCTGATAGCTCATTGAATTGGATTGGTTTGGTTGTATTAGATCTTCATAAATTCTTTCGAAAGATAGTGTGGATGTTCTTGGTGAATCAAATTGAAAAGATCCCGGATTAATGCTACTGAAACCAGTAGATGACGATGATTGCACATTGAAAGAAGATAATGGAGAGGAACACCATATGTGGTGATTTTGATTTGAAAGTCCATATGATTGACCTTCAAAAAAGTTGTTGTTAGATGTGGTTTGGTTTGTGGATGGTGATGAAAAGTTCCAATTTGATGACATTTTTTGTGATTTAGAGTATTGAGGATTGAATTCAATTGTTTTATTGTACAAACTCGAATTCTTTGTCAAACTTGAACGATGTCCACACTTGATTAGTTTCCACATTACATGTGAGAGAAATGTATACAATTTTCATCTTGTGTTTCGTAATCTTCTTTCCGAATTTACGTGTAAGACGTGAGTGAGTAATTTCCAACTCAGACCAATGCTTGCATTTGTCTAAAGGAGGAACACTGTCAGTAAATCTGAATTGAATGCACTTCTGTCTCTTCTTTAGGCCATTCCACAAAATGTCTTGATACCATTGGTAATATTTAGCCTTTGTTCCCCTCAGAGCAAGATAAAACACGTTTGGGTTGCAACATCCAACCGTTTCATGGCTGATGGAGTTTGAACATCTCATCTGTAGATGTTGATAAATAATATTTCTTGCACATTTGGCGAACTGTTCCCATATAATTCCATAAATTTGTTTCTTCTCATCTGGTACTTCTTTAAAGGAATTATATTTTGGTACAAATTCAAACAGTCCTTTCTCTAAAGTGAATTGATATTCCTTGTGAGTGTCTTCAGCAGCTTCATCTGTGGTTCTTGATTTTCGTTTTTTGCTCTGTTGGGAAATATTGTCATCATCACATTTGTTGTTTGGTGTTATCGTACATTGTGTCTCATCAACAATACCAGAGAAGCTGCTTGTGCTAGGCAATAGACAGCAAGGTGGAAATGACATAGTTTCGTCTGTGAAGATCCATTCCTGAACAAGTTAAGCAAACACATTGCAACAAATTTGAAACATACTGTAGAGGTAGTAGTTATTACTGGTGATGATGGCTGAGAAGTGTTCATCTCGATGCTTGATGATGAAGGAATCTTGAAATGTGTTACTACTGAATAATGGACAAACATAATACTTACATTGTTCGTACTCTGGTTCGTTGTGGATTGGCTATCCAATGCTGGTGATTCATAGGCCTTGATATAATTGAGATCAATACAAGGTGAACGATATTCACTAGTACTTACGTGATTACTATTTGTTTCGCAACTCGAATCACAATCAGAAACACCAAGCTGAGGTAAAGATTAGTGTCGGTGTTGAAATTGTTGTTTGATGTTGTTGTTGTTGTGGTAATATGGATAATCAATTACTTACACAGTATAGAGGCACAGTACCCTCTTCAATGACCACTAATTCAGCTTCCATGTTGTTGTGTGTTGTTGGTGTGTTTTTTTGTGTGAGAAGCAGAAAACAACACCACAGACCAATCACTCCATTTTTTTTGACTCCGGGACTTACTAAAACGAGCCGAATTTTTTCTTCGTCAGTTTTTGCACTTTACGCTCAGGCGTAGTTTGTGGTGCAACAACATCCGCTGTAAATGATCCAATTTCATCATAATTTCAAAAAATTTTATTGTTGATTGCTGCTGTTGCGGGTTTTGAAATTTACAGCTTGGTTATTATTTAAATTATCATCATTGTCCACTCAAGGAATGCATCAACAAGGTACATCAAACCACTCACGACTGCTAACATCTTCCAAGTTGCCAATGGCTTCTCCTCTCAGTTCCGATATGAGCTTCTCATCGGGGCAACAACTACAACACTTGCAACCTTCCCCAATACGACCTCCTCAACAACAACAACACATAGTATCTCCTTCATCATCATTTCAAGGTTTAGGAGGCAAGCCTTTATTGAATCCGATTGGTACATCATCGTTGGGTCTCTCTCCCTCCTCTTCCCTCTCTTCCTCTCATCATCCGTTACATTTCCATGGCAATGGTGTCAATAACCAAAACAATAATCAAGCACTTTCATTGGAAGGTAAACACAACACTCCATCATCGTTTGGTAAATTTATTAATTTCTCTCAATTATCAACAAAGAAGCAACTGACTAACAGTAATACCTCGAGCCTTAATAATAGCTTGGCCAATTTCAACAACGATCGATACAACCACAACAGCAACATATTTGAAGATTCAGCAAGTCGGATGAGCAATCAAACACCAGAGTTATTCTCAAGTCATCACGACGATGAAGATCACCATAGCGAAGATAATGACGATCATCACTCAATCTACGACCATCACAGCGTAGTGAGTCCAAAAGCATCTTCAACTACTGGTTCAGCAGTGAAATCAAAATTAAAATTCTCTGAATTGGGTTCCAAGATTTCTGCCATTGATGAATCCATGATGCAACAGGAAAAGGTGAGAAAAAAACGACAACAACAAATGCAAGGGCTCGAACAGAAAATTGAGCTCACTAACAGTAATCTCTCACAGGTTGAGAACAGAACAATGTCACTGGAAGCAGCTCTAGAAAAAATAGAGACTCTCTTTTATCAAGAGCAAGGTGTGAGAAATTTATCTGAAAAGAACATCATTTCGTTGATGGAAGAAAAATTTAATCAACTTGCCATCAAAATCAACCAAGAGCGTGAGCAGCGCATACTGGAAGATGAATCGAATAGGAAACGTATCAAAGCTTTGGAGGAAGGGGTGACAGCCATAAATCTGTCACTAGATAGCTTGTCACAAGAGCTTTCATCACAAAACTCTCAATTATCTCTTTTGGCTGCCAATTTCAACAGCTTCACAAATCAATACAAGCAGGACCGAAAACAACTAATAGATCAAAGACAACTCGAATCAAAAGAAATACAATTACAATTTGGAGACGTCAAGCAAAAGATCGCCAACATGGAGAGCGAAATGCACAAACAAGATACCTTCATAATGAATCAACTGAATGCCAATGTTCATGACTTGTCACAAGAATTGTCTCGATTACGAGCCGAGGTTGATAACAAGACGAAAACCTCTGTGGAACCAATGATGGCTCAAATCCAACAGTTATTCTCCACACTCGAATCCAACAAGACACAATTCACATTACAGATTGGAACTTTGCAACAACAGCTAGCCTCACAAAAATCTGAAATATTGTCTGAATACATGAACCCTAAATTTGAAAGGGTGGAAAAAGCAATCCTCCTCAATGACAAGACACAAACCAAACATGTGTTTGACCTGAAAGCTGATGTTGAAAAGAAAAACGAAATGCTGGAAAGTGCCATTACGAAACTGAAAGAAATGTTAACACATGAAGAGTCGCAACGCCTCGAAAGTGAAAACAACCTTCTCCAATTGTTGAGTAAGACCATGAAACGAATTCAAAACGGTATTGAGAGCACGACATCCGACACTGTGTTTACACCATCCTTTTAATATATGGTATATTGTCGATTTCTTTAGAAATTGTGGGTGTGTTTCGATTCGTGGTCAAGTACAAAAAAAATGAAACAACACCAACGATTTCTCTTGGCAACCTTAATGTGTTGTCTAATGAGTTGCTTGATGATCGTGAGCAGAATTGAAGCGGCTTGTACCTACTCTACAACCAACGGAAAGACCATTGATGTTTCAGGAGCAGACAAACAAGGTGGTTATACTGTTACTGGCCAGGGATGGGATTATTACTTGTAAGTATTGTGTTCCGATAGGTATTAAGGATGACATTGAAATTTGTTAATTAAACGGAAATTATGAATCATCGATTTCTCGTTGGTAATCATCATGCTTGTTATTTTCAATGGCCACCAATAATGAATTTATCATTTCATCAATTATGGAAAATCTCTTTTTGGGATTTTGGAATTGTTGTTTACCACTCGAACTCGATTCTAAAACTTTCCCATTTTCTTAACTCAACAATAGCAATGTTTGTGAACTTCCTGTTACCGCACCCTCAGGAAAATGTTCCTTCACACCAACTCCACAAGCCTATCAATATTCAGCAAGTTGGAACGACTGCTACCCTATTGGTAATAAGGGAAGCCCAAAAATTGTTCCTCTCGTTCCAACCGATGAAACTCAAGGTGTTAAAATCACTCATGAAGCCTATACCTATCAAAGTGCAAGACGTGAGCTAGTGATCAAGTTGAAATGTGATGCAACTGCAACCACTACAACTTTCACATTTGAGGGAGAGGCCACAGGTGCCATCAGTACTTACACTTTCAGTGGTAGCTCCAAGTATGCTTGTGTTGGCGCTGGCCCAGGACCAACTCCTGGAGGAGATGAACCAATTTTGGGACAATATGGTATTGGTGGATTGTTGTTGACATTGTTGCTTGTTGGATTCATTCTTTACTTTATTATTGGAGCTCTTGTTTTGAAGTTTGCCATGAAGAAGTCAGGAACTGAAATTATTCCACAATTTGGATTCTGGAAGGATTTACCATTCCTTTTACTTGATGGAATTATGTTACCAGTTGATCTCATTAAGGGATGTATGGGCAAGAACAAGTATCAAGAAATGGCATAAGCTTTGTTCACAATTCCCTTTCGTTCGTCACATCAATCTGGACAATGTTAATAGATTCTCAAAACATTAAATCATTGATTTTTTCAACCATTTTCAAAAAAATGTCGCAACAGGAGAGCGCCCTCGTGTTAATAACCATGATGATGATCGCCATCATGCTATCATCCTCTCAAGCTCTATCCATATTCATTCCTTCCCAACAACAACGCCCGCCAACTGTCATTCCAGAACCATCCTCTAAACCTCTACTCCCAGTCCTTCTCATGCACGGAGTAACTGTGGACAACAACTCAATGACCTATCTCCGTGACTTTATTCTCGAATCGAATCCTGGCACCATTGTATTATCATTACCGTGTGAAGATCGATTGGGTTCTCTATTTCACCCCATGGCCGAACAATTGGAATTATTTGCACAATTAGTCGAACAAGCAAAAGCTCAATATGGATTTCGGGATCATCACTTGATTTGTCATTCACAAGGTGGGTTGTTATGTCGATCATATTTGCAAATGTATCCCAAACATACGGTGAGAGTGTTTGTCTCATTGAGTGGAGGTAAGTGTGTGAATTGGAATCAAAATTGGGTTCGTTCAACCATATTTATATTTTTGTGGAATGATGATATTTCATTGAATTCATATTAATCGTAATCAATGAAATATTATTTTCATGACGACTGGTTGATGACGGGCTTGCATATATGCAGTACAAAATGGAGAGTTTGGAATTCCTGGAGACAAGTCATGGGAAATTGTGTTAAAAGATAAATTTCCATTTTTGTGGAATATGACTGCAGATGAAATTTATGCCGTGTTCTATACAGATGCATTTCAGAAATTAGTATCCGTAGCAAACTATTGGAAAGATGTAAGTGGTATGATTTTCTACAACGTGTTCCTGACTTTTCAATTTCTTGAAACAATTATCACACCTTGACAAAATGGTTGAATTAAAAAATATAGCCCTATCACATGGATTCCTATCGACAACATTCTCAATTTCTAGCCATCATGAACAATGATTCTACAACAGTGGACTATGCTTCTAAATATCACTTTCGAGAAAATATGCTTCGAATTGACAAGATGATACTAAATGGATCACCACAAGACGAAATTATCAAACCATACTTTTCTGCATTCTTTGATTATTACAAATATGACTCATCAAGCAATGCTCTAGTGACAGAATCGATGAAACTTCAATCATTTTACATAAATGATGTGTTTGGACTGAAAACATTGGATCGTGAAAAACGATTATTTATTCAGAGAGTCCCAAATGTGACCCATAAGGAATGGATTACCAATCAAACATTGTATGAATTATACATGAGACCTTTCCTGTATTGAGGAATTTATCTTTCTTTCAACAACACGGTGAAGAAAGTTTTGTAATATTTAATTTATTGAACTTGTTTCAGAAAAAAAAATGTTGCAACAACAACCACTCCACAACGATCCATACATTTCTGTACCTTCTCTTCTCTCACGATTGGATTTTCAAACACGAGAGGATTATTTTGAGATGGCCAAACTTTGTGAACAAGCTGAGCATTATCAAGGTAAGTTCTTTTCACAACACATATTATCGATTGAGCTTCCCGAAACACACAACATTCCAATCCACACACAGAAATGAATTATTGCATGTGTATGATGGCCATTCGATACAGCACTATTCAAGAATTTACTTCCGACGAGAATCATTTACTTTCCGTTTCTTTTTCAAGACAAATTGCCGATCGAAGATCGTCTTTGAGATCGTTGGCACACAAATTATATTCAACCTCTCAGCAAGCACGAGAACATGCTCTCGTTTGCAATTACTTTCACAAAATTGAAAATGAATTGGAACACGTCTGTCAACAAGTATTTCATATTTTAGAAAATTATTTAATTCCGAATAGTTCCCAAATAGAGAATCAAGTGTTTTATTACAAAATGTTGGGAGATTATTGTCGATATTTATTGGAAGTGAAATCAATAACATTGGATGGCATTGATGTGAAACAAAAAGGACTGGACTCTTACAGTACAGCATTGACAATGGCTCAGAAAGGTCTCTCACCATTCTCACTTTCTCGTCTTGGTCTCGTGTTGAATTATTGTGTATTCATGTATGAGATGTGTCGAAAACCATTGATGGCCATTCAAATGGCACAAAAGGCTTGTGATGAAGCACAGCAAGCTCTTGAGGATCAGCAGCCTTTGGATGCTTCTACTGTGAAAGCTGCAAAAAGTGTCATGCAATTATTGAAAGATAATGTGGCTTTTTTCATTCAAGAGAGTGAAATTGACCCAGATGAATTGTGATTGGCCTGTTATTGGGTTATAAGGCATGTGTACTTACATGCTCGATCGACGTTTCAGTGACGAATACAAAAAGGAATAACCATTCCATGCAGTAATGTTGTGGAGTAAGGCTTGTGTTGGTGCTTCGACGCACAAGACTCAGTTTTAGTAATTCCTTTTGACCTTCCCATATTGGGCACACTTTGAAAATTGAAGATTCAACCTCCTCAGTGCCAATAAGGAATGTTGGACCCACTCGAGTAGCCAACCGTAGTCGCTGTGGTAACGAGATCATTTAAAAAAAAATCACAACATGAACACCAAGTATTTGATTGTTGCCGTGTTGTTGGCTCTTGTTGCAAGCGCTTGCCTTGTGGTCGCTCAAGCGGCAGACACTACTGCACCAACCGCACCAACCACACCAACCACAGTCCAAACTGAGAAACCAAGAAGAGCACAAAGACATGCCACTTCATCCGTTCGTAGAGTTCGTGGAGCAGCCTCCCAATCGGCAACTAAGGTTAAGGCTCAAAGAAAGACTTCTGCCCGTAAAACACCTATCAAGAGAACTACCACAAAGAAGGTATCAGCAAGAAAGGTAACCACGACAGCAAAGAAAGTACCAGCTAAGAGAATCACCAAGAGAACACCAACAAAGAGAACCACCAAGAAGAAATCCGCTGTAAAGAAGGCTCAAAGAAAGGGAACCAAGAAAGTACAACGAAAGGGTAAAAGAAATGCTGGCAGCAAGCGTACTCGTCGTGCGAGATCAACAAAAAGAAGCAAACGAGCACGTAAATGTGTTTGCGGACGAGCCACCAGAAGAGCAAAGAAGACTGCTGCTAAAAGAACAACAAAGTCCACTCCAAGAAAGAGGGCACCAAAAAAGACCGTCAGGAAATCAGCTGCTTCTAGAAAAACAACAAAACCTGCAGGAGAAACCCAACCAGTGGAACCTGTAGCATAATTCTTGCAATAAAGTAGCATTGAACTGCCTTGAAAGAATTCAAATACCATATTCATTTTCATACCATATTCATTTTCCACGGTTTATAGCATCAAACCCCTCAACCATTCAAAAATGCGAGAAAAAGAAAGGTTCACGAACTGAACGACTTATTAAGGACATGTGGTGCTAAACACTAAACCGGTAAGGACTGTGCGCAAAGAGTATCCGAAAAAAATACAGCCGCACAACCCTCATGAAAAGCACACTCTTGATTGTTATCGGTAGTCTCTTGTTGGCGGCTCTCCTTACTGCAAGCATGTTGCAAGCGGAGGGTCAGTTTTACAAGAGTGCTGCAAGAAGAAACAGTAAGCCCTGTGGAGTGTCGGCTCTAATTAAAAACAAGACCAAGCAGCTTGAAAAGGTGAAGAAGGGTATCTGTCAGGTGCGAAACATGATACATGCAGTTCGCCTGAACATGTATGAGGATTCCCGTTCGTCCTACTACCTTAAAAATCAAAAGATGGTATTGAAAGAATTAAAACGTGTTGCGTCGACTCTACGATTTGAAATTGAGGCTCTCCTTAAGAGAAGAAGAAGCCTCCACGAACGAAACATTGTGATGCAAAAGGCCGGACGAAAGCATCATGTTCGTAACAAGGTCAGGGAGGTAGGCTTATCAAAAACTTCCGTTGAAACAAAGGCATGCACAAAATCATCATCTAAGGTACCGCATGCCGATCGTCAACGTAAGAAGGCTCTTACCCCTAAGAAACCAAGACGTCCGTCGTCATCTTCTCTAGAAGCATTTTCAACCACCTCTCTCTACCTGCAACAGGATGAGACTTTTACAGCAACCCATCGTAAATCGTTGAAGCCTTCTTCAAAACAACAATCCAGAAAACCAAGAAGGAAGAGAACAAATAGCAAGCAGAAAAGTTGGAAAACTTCTCAATCTCGTACAAAGGAACAACAACCATTCACTGACGCAAAAGAATCTAACGTAGTTGAAGATTCCTCTTCTGTAATATCAACAGTTATGAATGTTCAATCATCAAAACCAATCAATAAGGTTGCAACAGTTCATAGCCATTCTAAGCATGCAGCTACTGCATCTTCAAGTCACCGTCAAGTATCGTCATCCCCATCGACTGATTACAACACGCAAAGCGATGACGTTTATAACAACCGAAGAAATGAAACATCCTCCACAACAGGACCAAAGGATCAAGCTGCCAGAAAGAATTTAACTTCTCCTCGTCCTGAAAAAACTATTTGGGAAAGACAACGAGCAAGCCAACGACCAAAGTCTTTAGTAGTCATCTCACCCAGTAGTACAACCACCAAAAAGCATAATCACAAGAATGGTGGAGTTTCAAATCCAAAAACAGTACCACAATCTCAATTTCCAAAGAGAATAGAATCAAAGCCTAAAAGCTCGTCCGTTAAAGCCAAAGTCGACCGTAGAAACAAAGATCGTAAAACCGTCGCTGAGGAAGTGTCAAAAAGAAGTGACAAAAGAATGGGTGATGGACCATCTCGTGAAGCCAAATCAAAGATATCTGGCTCTCCATTGGATATCAAGAAGGAAAAAGATCGCTCCTTACTGACTTCATCATCGACAGCTGAAAGAAGGAAACAACCGGTAAAGGAAGTTAACATTGAATCAATCGAAACTGTCAAATCAAAAGAAAGCAAGAAATACAACCATTCCCAATCCATAGCAGAAAGAAAGTCATCTAAGCACGGTGAAAAATCTGCTGCGACATCTGTGAAGGTGCCGTCAGAGAGCTCAAAAGTCAGAAGAAACGATGATTTGACATCTATTCATCAACAACATAAAGTGATGACATCCAATGATTCAGCAAGCTCAAATGTCAAGAAGGAGAAAAACAGCTTCAAAACACAAGAACAAAGGTCTGTAGGAAAATCGTCAGAGATTGTTAGTGGTCCTTCGAGAGTGCCCGAAAAAGAATTACCAAAACAACGCTCGTCAGAACAGAATTCAAGATTAGAAAGAAAACCAAAGAAGGACTCTTCATCCAGTAAAAAGTCAACAACACAAAATGTCAAGCCTAAAGAAACTAAGAAGCAAGATTTACCCTCTAATGAGAAAGTGACCACACCAACTCGTACAAAGCCAAGCAGTGATAAGCAAGAGAGAGGTAGAAATAGTGTCTCATCGAAACAAGAGAGACAACCAAGCAATCCTACAAAGCACTCAAACGAATCTGTGAAACGTGTTTCGTCATTGAGAAATTTGAGTTCAAAACCAGAAATCAAGGAAAGAGCCACTTCATCCTCAAAACCAGCCAACAGGACTATTTCCAGAACAGAATCCATCGCTAAACGTCCAGTTCAAAAGGAACGAGACACTCCACTCTCAAAATCAACCAAAACCGCTTCCAGAACAGAATCTATCGCTAAACGTCCAGTCGGAGCTCAACGTCCAGTTCAAAAGGCACGAGACACTTCATCCTCAAAATCAACCACCAATACTTCCAGAACAGAATCCATCGCTAAACGTCGAGTTGATAAGGAAACGATGCGATCCAAGTCTTCACAGACAAGACAAAACAAATCTTCTTCCAAAAAGGATCAAGGACCCACTCAAAGTATGATTTCAACATTGGGAATAAGCAATAGAAATACCAAGGTAGCACGATCTGTCAACAATAGACCAACCTCAATCACTTTTGAAAAAAGGACTTCAGTCATTGTCAAGCCAAAAGAAAATGTCAAAGAAGCCAAGAACGTGTACTCAAATGAATCTGTGAAACGTGTTTCGTCATTGGGAAATTCGAGAGCCGCCTCATCCTCAAAATCAACCAAAACCGCATCCAGAACAGAATTCATCGCTAAACGCCCAGTTGGAGTTCAACGTCCAGTTCAAAAGGAACGAGACACTTCATCCTCAAAATCAACAAAAACCGCTTCCAGAACAGAATTCATCACTAAACGTCCAGTTGGTAAGGTAACACGATCTGTCAACATTAGGCCAACTTCAATCACTTCTGAAAAAAGAACTTCAGTCATTGTCAAGCCAAAAGAAAATGTTAAAGACGCCAAGAAGGTTCATACTTCATCTGGTCGCCAAAGTGACAAAGTAAATCGTTCAACACCAAGTGTCAAGAAAGAGACGGATCGAAAGAACGTGACTACTTCTGTTCCTCGTCAAAAAGAAAAAGTGAACACTTCCATTCGTTCGACCCCTATCGTTGAAAAGGTTGCTCCTCGTAAACCACCAAAACAGACTTCAAGCAAATCCTCAACTCCAGTAGTCCCTCCTTCCAAACCTACTAAACCAAAAGAAAACAAAAAACAATCAGAACAAACTTCAAAAACCGAAAAGAGACCAGTTCATCCAAAACCAAAACAGTCTGTTGTTACAACCACAGACAAGGTTGTCTTAGCAGCTGCAAAGCCATCCAAGCCAAAGGAGCCCAAACAACCAGAAAAACTCTCAACTACCAAAACAGAAAAGAAGGCAACTCGACCAAAACCACAACAACCTGTCGTCAAACCAACAGAAAAAGTGGTCTTGGCATCCGTAAAACCCAGATCAGTTTCCCCAACTGCCTTAAAGAAATGTCAAGCCATTGGTGATCCTCATTACACCACATTCCAAGGGAAATATTTTGATTTCTATGGAATTGGTGATTATGTTTTGGCTGGCTCCACAGATGGTGATTTCATTGTTCACTCCAGAACTGGTAAATGGAACAGTGCCAGTGTCAATACTGCTTTCGCAGTCAAGCTCAATAATCAGAACATTGTTGAATACGACATTGAAAGCGACTCGTTCTATGTGGATGGACAACAAATCTCAATTAAAGTAGGAGACACAATAACCTTTGATACAGGAGCTACTGCTAAGAGAACGGGTGCTGCCTCAATGACGATTTCTTCCACTAATGGCGCTCATTTGATTGCCACTTGGTACAGAGATGCAGGATATAAGAGATACGGATCTTTTGGTCACATTTCCTTGATTGTTGAAGCTCCTACTGATTTGTCATTCAGTTCTGGTTTGTGTGTCGATCGGAGCTACCAATCCGTTACCGCCACTGGAATTTTACATGATCATGTCCAACGAATTGTGACACGTTCGGTGCAACCCAAACAACCAACTCAGGCACAAGTTCAAGCAGCAACTGAAGCCTGTCGTACAGCTGGATTGAAAGGTGTGAATCATCCATTGGCTTTGAAAGCTTGCATTGCTGATCAGGTTCAAACTGGATCCAAAGTTGGTGCATCCATTGCCAAGGTCATTAAACAAGCAGAACAAATTGCTGACAAGAAGGAGAAGAAATGGGCTCAACAAGCAGAACAGATTAAGGAGGTGAAGGTTGAACAAGTGAACCCAGCAGTGGTAACAATGCAAGCGCGTACTCAACCTCTTGTAAAACCAGTCGTCACTCCAAAATCAAACACAATTACAGAACAAACAAAACCAAAAGGAACAGCACAAACAAAACCAACCAGTACAGCATCAAAAGAAACTAGAACTTCAATTAGAGACGCTACCGAGAAAGCAGAAACAAAAAAGATCATTGAACCAAGAGTACCAAAAGTTGTGACTGTTCAATCCAAGTCTACAGAAGTCTCTCCAACACGTCCAGCGCTCAAGAAACAGGACAGAAGTACAGAAGTCATTCCAAAGTCTAGTGAAGCTACTTCCAATGGAAGTGTGAAATCCAATCCAAAGTCAAAGGGAGGTCATAATCCAAGGTCCGTGATGAGAGAGTGGATTGAGACAACGAAGGAAGCCAAGCGTTCTCAACAAGCAAGTCCTTCAGTTGCTACCTCACAACAACAACAACAACGTGCGGATCAAAAGTTGGCAACTCAGACCACAACAAAGAGTGACAAAGCCAAGCAAGTCTTGGTAAAACCAAAGCCTGCTGCAATACAGGTTAAAAAAGAAACACCAATTGTAAAACCATCAAATCCAACAGTCAACAAGGAAACTTCGCCAAATACCATTGCAAAACCACCAACTAAACCTCGTGAAGCTGTTCGTGTGGATCCAAAACCTACACCAAAACCTGTTGTCGTTGCAACTCCAGTCAAAAAGGAAACACCAATTGTAAGACCACCAACCCCACCACGTGAAGCAGTTCGAATGGATCCAAAACCTACACCAAAACCTCCTGTAACAATTGCAGCACCAGCCAGAACTGCCTTTGAAAGAAAGGCCGTAGCAAGACCTCCACTATCTAGAAGAAGATAGAACGGATGATGATGTATTCTATAGTGGTGTTAAATAAATACGAGGAAGGTTCTGTAACTTTTCGAAAATTGCACCATTACCACTGATTCACATCAACATCATAATGAGCTTGACAATATTCAGAAAATGTTCTCCACACATGTTGTTCTTTTGGATCTGGTGTCGCATGTCCATTCTTTTCAGCATCTTTCATTTTCGAGACATAATAATCAACAAAATCCTCAGTGACTTTCTTAATGGCCAATTTATGAACGACCAAATCATGGTTCATAAATCCCCCAATGTTAAATAACCGGACATCGACCACCCTTGTTCGATTCACATCTTCTCGAATATATTGTTTGCCTCCAAACACCACTACTTTCACTGGAGATCCAGCTTGTTCGTTTTTCGGATTCACATAGGAACATGTCTTGTAGAGATAGGTCACTTCCATCAATTGATCACCAAAAAATCGTGCCTTGGTCGAAATGACATTTTCAAGAGCTCTCTTCTTAAAGATGGCTCCATAATTCATAATACAAGTCTGAATCACAGTAGAGTATTTTCGAGAGGAAACATTTCGATCGAGAGGTGTATAATGATGATATTCCATACATTCAAACATGCCTTGCTTTTGTCCTTCAATTTCATTATTGAGAGCTGCTTTTGCAACTTTTTCAATCGAATAATTTAAATGAATAATTGATTTTTGCAATTTCATATTTGGAACGCACGAATAATTTTCTTTCGATTTGTAAACCACCACTCTCGGATGTTCTCCAATCAATACTTTCCAATCCTCTGTATGATCACACATAAATTCGACAAAATCAAAATCCGAATCCACAATGGTTTTTAAATTTAAATCTTCTTCACTCATTTTGAACGAATGATAATGAAGAAATTGTTTTCGTTTTTTGTGAAGTATATCAATAATATACGATGGAAAATCTTTCACACTCAATTCGAGCCACTTTTTCACATATTTTTGATGTTGTTTTTGGAAATAGGAAAAATTATCTTCCAATTCTTTTTCGAACATGAATAATAGACGTTTAAGGCCAATGAGTGTTGGAAGTTCGTGTTGTTGCTGTTGTGAATTTGGAATTTCTTTTTGTTCCATAAATGTTGAATTTTTCAAGACTGGAATGGATTCTAAAGATTCCGATGAGAGTATTGAATGATTGTCACTTGTCACTTCAATGGGAGGTTCATTCGTTTCTTTTGGAAGCTTGTTCAAATGTTCTTCTTCTTCACGACGACGCATTTCCAATGCCAATTCGCATACTTCTCTCAACCACTGAACCAAATATTCATGTGTACTCAAAATAGGAATTAAATTCTTGTATTCCTTTTCCACACTTGTCTTGAAATTTAACAAGAAAGGAAATGGACATTCGACAGTTGCCTTTTCAGAAAATTGTTCATTATTGAAATGATTCATGCCTGTCTCTCCTTCATCCATTAATGGTCTCACTACAAGTTCTAAAAAACTTTCACATGACTTGAAAAGTTGTTTCAAAGTGTCAAATGTTCGAACTCGTTGTTTCTTGACATCATAGAAAACATCTAAAAAGTGCATTTTCTGGATCATGGCTAAACCATATTCACGTGTGACTGAAATTTTGACTTGTCCTAAAAAGTCAAAAAATGCATTTCTAATTTCTTCAATGCCACCTTTCATTTTACTTCCATTTTTAGAATTCCACATCATTTCAGTAGGTGAAGAATTCGATCCGTTTTTTCTCTTCGAATCTTGTTTGGCCACATCTTTAAATATTCTCATTGCAATATTACTCGTAGAAGTTGTTGTCGTCGTCGAAGTAGAATCCTCAGTCGAAGATGCATTCGAAGATTTTCCATCCGTCCAATTCGTGTCACTTGCCACTGAATATTCATTCAACAACGTCGATTCTCCACCCATCACTGCAACACCAGTAGCACCTTGATGATGATTATTTGTATTCGATATCGAACTCGATGTCATTCCTAAATTAGTAAATATTTTCAAAGAGGCCCTTCGTGCTTGTTTCTGTCCAGCACTACTTCCATTGTTATTACTACTACTACAACCACTCATGAGAGGTGAAGCAATTACAGGCGAACAAGAAGGACTGTTTTTTTCACATTTGGATTCCAAAAGTGTCATCATGTTGGAATCATGATCAAAACTTTTAGAATGTTGTTTCATCATGACAATGGGAGAAGAATCATTGGAGAAGGAATTTGGTTTTGGAGATGAAGAAGAAATTGGCGAAATTGGTTTTGGAAATGAAAGATTTAAAATGTGTGATTGTTGTGGTTGTTGTTGATTTAAAACAATGCACGAAATGGGAATGTAATAGAGATAGGGAGAGAGTTTGGCGGAAGAGTTCGATGATGATGATGATGACTTGTTCATGATGGAAAAAGTGAGATTCAGAGAGCGAGCAAGGGATGTTGTTGTTTTGAATTTTTTTGGTGTTGGCCAAAAGCGATCTTGACAAGTGACTGGAGCCCGACAACTGCGCAAATGCGTTGGCCAAAAATGTTTTCACGAACGACCTTAGCAGTCCTTATCTTCAAATGATTTTCATCATGTCCAACAACATTTTCACAAATAATTACAACAACCGTTGAAAGGCGCTCAATAAGTTTCACAATTTTATCAATCGCTAAATTCGATTTAATTAATTGCACAATAATTTACATTAAAGCTCTCCTCTCAAATTTCTTTCACTCTTCAAATAAGCAAGCGCCTTTTCATTACTCCAAACATGTTCTCTCAATTTGGTAAATTGTGGAATAAATTCTTCAATATTCACCTTCATGAAATATCTCAATAAATTTCCCAATTCAAACAAGTACACATCGGCCCATGTCAGACGTTGTTGTTGTTGTTGTGAATGCAATTGTTGTTCATCATCCAACTCTAAATTCTTCTTTTCATGAATTTCCTTTTCATTTAGTAATAATGGAATTAAATATCCATCGTGTTTTTCTAATTCCAAATTCAACGCAGTTGCAACACGTTTCAAAATTCCATTCTTAAATTTTACTCGTTCTTCCTCTTTGAATTCTTCAGCTGTTGCAAATTCAATTCTTGAAAATTCATCATATACATCTTCCATGGCTGCAATATATTCTTCACTCAGTGTGGCTCGAAAACGATCACGAGGATACAATTGTGCATTTCCTTCTTGGGCGAAATAACGAGCAATGGCAATGGCTTGATCGAGTGTCCAATGTTCGTTGATTTTGACGAATGGAACAAAACCGTAACGAGAAGAGGGTTTCACGAGAGGCCACTCGTTGTAAAAGTTGAGTTTTCGGAGTGTGTAGGGAATTTCACCAATTTCTGCAATTAATTTAATGAAATCCTGTGTATATGATACATAGTGTGTGATTTGGAGTTGAAAAGTAAAAGAAATGAGAAAGGACTTACAGCTCTTCCATAAGTATCAAAGTAGGTAATTTCATTGACCATGTTGTGATTTTGTGATGTTTTTTTGATTGGTTATTGATTGAAGGTTAATGGATCCACTATTTATTGCTAGGGATGAGAATAATGAAGACCGAGGATTTGAGGTTATTACGAGCGCAAACGCAAGTACTTTTTGAAAAGAACGTACTAACCTGTGCCTGATAATTCAAGATTGAAACAAAGTGTGAGACTGTTTGAACGTTCAATTTGTTGCAAGACGTTGTACAATTACAGAGCGAACTGTCCTAGGAGTGGCGTCTGTTGTTGACCTGTGGGCGGCCGTTTCGCCTGTGGTTGCGTGGGGGACCTGTTGTTTTGGCCTGTGAAAAAAATGTGGCTTCTTCATGAGGACGATTGTTGGTAATTTCAATGAAAACTTTGTGGCCGATCCGAAGAACTCTTTAGGGTTTATTCTTCAGGATTTCTTTACTAAAACTTATAAAAATCCATCATCAAACAATGTTGGTTGAACACCAAATGTTCATCAAATTTAACGATGCTGGCTCTGCCATAAATAGAGTCCAATGAAACCGATTCGGAGATATGTTCAACTGCCAATGTTCGGAGCCCTGTTGCCTCCTGAACGTTGTTGATTTTGAACACTGCACGCAATGATACGCCCAATGGAGAAATAGAATCAACTTGGCCAATCTTAAAATTTGTTTCATCTTTGAAAATAATATATTGACCGGATTGCAAAGGAGGAAACCACTTTTCTGAAATGCATTTGGTTCGATACCATAGATAATTAATGAATATTTGTCGTCTCAATTTTTCAAATTCACAGGCTCTAGATTCAACATTCTTATGATTGGATGAATCATTGAATTGTTTGAATTCCTTATGTTTCAGCTCAAATAATAGGGCCCAAAAGAATCGAGGGCTGCCCCATTCCAAACAATCTTCAAATATATGGGCTATCCAGTGAAAATTCGGAAACTTGCAACTTTTGGATTTGAATAATTCTAAAAAGAATTTACAAAACTTGATATAACTAGATCTGGCTTTTTCAATACCCACTGTTGTCAAATTATCTTGTAACAAATGACTGACAAATGAAACATGGCACGACCAACATAGTACATGTTTTTTTCTTAAAACCATAGAACGGCCTTGCAGTTTTGAATTTTTCACCAGCACCTGATAGATAGGATGTACACTAAAGGCTAAAAATTCAAGAAAATCGTCAGCAGAACAATTTTCAAAGTCCTTCACCTTAAATTTCAATGGCTGACCTGCAGCGTTGACAGTAGTAGAAACTAAATCTTGAAGGTCACTAATTATACCAGTGTAATTAAATTCGTCAAGAATATAGCGTAAATGTCTTCGTCCTAAACCTTGTATTTCAGCATGCATGTATTCCACTGTTGACTTTTCAAAAACATCATGATCCTTCAGATAAAATAATGGATTGTTCACTTTACGAAGTTCTTTGTCCTAGCTCTCTAATTTTGTTATTTCTTGATTTATCATCCATTTGAGAATCTTTCATTTCCAAAACCTGTTCCCATGTAGGACGCATTCCCTTACATTCGTTTGAGTTGAGATTTTCAATGTTGTCATAAATTTGTATTGCCTCATCTACGTTTCTGTTTGGGTAGTCATTTTGTTCGTTTGGATTTAATACATTTTTAGGAATGTTTGCAAACTCTGATTTGGGATGATGACAACGAGAACATTCTTTGTCTTCTAAAAATAAACTCATCCAACGTTGTACACTATCCCATACCCACGGCCCTAATTCAATTTTCACGTCTACAATTTGATCCATGCCTGCATGATACATTTGAAACGTTTTTCCTTGAATTGAGTTGAAGTCGTCTTTAAAGCATTGCATTAGGTCAAAGAACGCCTTTTGACCAGTAGCTTTTCCTAGAAGAGAGATGGTTTCCTTGATCCTGTTAAGAACGATTTAGAGTAATTCAGTAAACTAAGATAAAACCCTCCTGAGTTCTTAGAGCCAGTTCGGTATTTTCTATATTCGTCAAAATATAACACAAAGACAACTGATAGAATGTCTGATCCTGATTTTTCTATCAATTTCTTAAAACCAGGTGTTGCATATTGCTCTCCTTTTTCTTTGTCCGTAATATTTCTTCCGTAGTGAATTTGGTTGGCAATAATAGGATCTGCTAATAAATATCGTATGGTTGATTCAAGGTTATAATAAAACACATGATCGGTTGAATGTGATAATTGTTGTGTTTGAAGTCCTTTTACGCAATGTTGAATTTGATCATATGTGAGATAAGGAATATTGTTGTCTTTAAGCATTTCCGTAACTTTTTCGTATTGAAGTTTCGTTAACCTGTGGTATTTTAATAACATAAAACAGTCCCATTCCGTCTTATTACTGAAAGGATGATATGAATTATTTTCCATTCTTGTAACGAATGGATTTGATTCTGAGGTTGTTTCATGAATTGTACACATATCCTGTGCTCGTTTCTGTAACACATGCTCAAAATCCACTTCGTCAATAATCACTTGCCATTCACTCTCCAAGGACTCATCATTATCCAACACCTTCCAACAAAGGTCATCAGAAGCACACATTACTACATCTTGATTGAAATCAATGCAGAACATGTTGTCTATACAGTTGCTTAAAGATTTTTCCACATTAATGATTTTAGGTTTTTTTATAGCTCGTTCATCAATTACTTCCATCGAATTCGTAATGGCATTCTATTATGTGCTCATGTAATTGTACAGGACTGGTTGTTGAGAGAGTGCAACATTTAAAATGTTGTGAGCGATTTCGGTCTTCATGTGTGGAAATATGGTCTTTATATGATCCAACTTTTGTAAAGGTTTTATCGCACTTTGGACAAAAGATCAAGTCTTTGTTGAATGATTGACATTTCTCATTGGTGCATGATGTTTTAAACACTGCTGTGAATGTTGTGTTTGTGTATTTGTATTGGTGTAAGCGTTGTGATGAAAATAAATTCTTGCATTTGCCGCAAAGGTGTTTGCGTTGAACATGAGTAGCAATCATGGGTGGATTCGAAGTAGATAAAGTGTGAGACTGTTTGAACGTTCAATTTGTTGCAAGACGTTGTACAATTACAGAGCGAACTGTGATCAAGGCTAAGAGTCAAAACAACACCATACATTTTCAGAATTTTTGAATTTTATAAATTAAAAGACATATTGCCTTAATCAACATCAACATCTTCGAATTTTGGTTGAGCACCTCCTGTGGATGATTCACCACCAGCTCCTGCTCCAGCACCTGCGCCTGGGAAACCACCAGCTCCTGGGAAACCTCCGGCACCTGCACCTGGGAATCCACCTTCTCCAGCACCTGCACCACCAGCACCTTGGTACAACTTGCTTATTATTGGGGCACACTTGCCTTCCAATTCCTTTTGCTTATTCTCCAAGTCCTCCTTAGAAGCAGATGGGTTGTTGTCAATGTAAGCAATAGCTTCCTCGCATGCCTTCTTGATAGTGTTCTTGTCAGAATCAGAAATCTTTCCAGCAAGGTTTGGATCCTCAACAGTCGATTTCATTTGATAAGCATAAGATTCCAAGTGGTTCTTAGCTTCAACCTTCTTTCTCAATTCATCGTCTTGAGACTTCATTTGTTCAGCTTGTCTCAACATTTCTTCAATTTCTTCCTTGCTCAATCTACCCTTATCGTTGGTGATGGTAATGTTTTCAGTCTTACCAGAAGATTCATCCTTAGCAGAAACCTTCATGATACCGTTGGCATCAATTTCAAAGGTAACTTCAATCTTTGGAACACCTCTTGGTGCAGGTGGAATACCTTCCAAATTGAATTTACCCAACAAGTGATTGTCCTTGGTCATGGTTCTTTCACCTTCATAAACTTGAATGGTGACAGCAGTTTGGTTGTCGGCATAGGTTGTGAAAGTTTGTGACTTCTTGCAAGGAATAGTAGTGTTTCTTTCAATCAACTTGGTCATGACACCACCAGCAGTTTCAATACCCAATGAGAGAGGAGTCACGTCAATCAACAAGACTCTAGTCTCCTTACCAGTCAAGACACCAGCTTGAACAGCAGCACCATAAGCAACAGCTTCATCAGGATTGATGGACTTGCACAATTCCTTTCCGTTGAAGAACTCCTTGAGCATTTCTTGAACCTTTGGAATACGAGTGGAACCACCAACCAAAACAACGTCATCAATTTGTGACTTGTCCAAACCAGAATCTTGCAAAACCTTCTTGACTGGTTCAAAACAATTTCTGAACATATCCATGTTCAATTGTTCAAACTTGGCACGAGTCATGGTAATATCCAAATCAATACCATCCATAATAGAATCGACAGAGATGGTTGCGTTAGCAGCAGAAGACAAGTTTCTCTTGGCTCTTTCACAAGCAGTTCTCAATCTTCTCAAAGCTCTTGGATTTTCAGTCAAATCCTTCTTGTGCTTTCTCTTAAATTCTTGGCAACAGAAGTCAACCATTCTGTTATCAAAGTCTTCACCACCCAAGTGAGTGTCACCTGCAGTAGCCTTGACTTCGAAAACACCATCTTCAATATTCAAAATAGAAACATCAAAAGTACCACCACCCAAATCGAAAATGAGAACGTTTCGTTCACCCTTCTTGTTCAAACCATAGGCAATAGCAGCAGCTGTTGGTTCGTTGATAATACGCAAAACATCCAAACCAGCAATAGTACCGGCATCCTTGGTGGCTTGTCTTTGAGAATCGTTAAAGTAGGCAGGAACGGTAACGACAGCCTTCTTCACTTGCTTTCCCAAATATTGTTCGGCAATATCTCTCATCTTGGTAAGAACCATTGATGAAATTTGTTCTGGTGTAAAGGTGTGTGTTTCATTCTTATATTCGACTTGAATGTAAGGCTTATCGTCTCCCTTAGTAATCACCTTGAAAGGCCAGTGCTTCATATCTCCTTGAACGCTAGGATCACTGAATTTTCTACCAATCAAACGCTTGGCATCAAAGACTGTATTGTGAGGATTCATTGCGACTTGGTTCTTGGCAGCATCACCAATTAAACGTTCCTCTTCAGTGAAAGCAACATATGATGGTGTAGTTCTGTTACCTTGATCGTTTGGAATAATTTCAACATTGTCGCCCATATAGACACCAACGCAACTGTAGGTAGTACCCAAGTCAATTCCGATAGCTCCTGTTGTTGAGGAAGGGGTTTAAAGTTTTTAAGAAGAAGGTTCATGATAATATGTAAACAAAATAAAGTTAGCAGTGAGTGAATATATCCAGACAGTCAAGCAAGATTTCCAGGTGTGTCCAATGTATTTTGTTGTTCAATGTATTTTGTTCACGATATGTTGTTATGATGATGGTAGGTATAAAATTATATGTTTAAGTTTTCAAAAGGCTTGAACGCCTTCAAAGATTACATACCGTCAAAAACTCCAGACATTTTATGGTGGTGAAGATGTATTGTATTGTGATGTTATTTTTTTCAGCAAGGTTTCAGGAATTTTTGCAATTTATCATCGTGGCTTGGATGATGAATTCCGAAAATCGAAATTTTTTTTAGATTCCGAAGTCGTTCCGATTTACAATGCGGATGAAGTTTGTACAAAGGGGGAAGCTGGTGGTTGGCCATCTTGTTAATTAATTTAATCAATTCAATTGTTTACGAATATTAAAAAGAGTAGATTGGCCCTTTTGTTGTATTTTCAGAGGATGGAGTGGTTGTTGTTGTTGGTGTTGTCCCTGTTGTGGTCGAGGAGGTTGGAGTTGTCGTTGTGGCGGACGGGTCAAGAACATCCACTGGTGTTTTGAAACTACGGTAAGCAAAGGAATTACGAACTTGTTGGAAATAGAGCTGAGTGATTTTCACCAAAATATCTTGTGGAATTTTCATCAACTCGTCAGTTTTGACATCTGTCTTAAACAATTGCTCCAAATTAGCAGCACCAACTTGAATGAGCATGTCACGAACTGGTTCCAACATGGGATCATCCAAATAGCATGACAAGCGGTCAACAATGGACAAATAACTTTGTCTATTTCTATTGAAAATGCTCAAACATGAATCCACGAGACCCTTCATACGGTACAAGTGTGCAGTCTTGAGTAAAGAAATGGCATCCTCAGATGGTACTAAAATTGGATCGAAACATTCATAAGCATACTTGACAATGTATTCCATAATGTGTGGTTCTACACCAATTTCTTGTAAATGACTCGAATCGCATGCTTCATTGGTAAATATTGGAGAGTTGAATTGTGTCTCGAAGAATTCGCTTGCTGATGAGAGAACTGTTTTGTGACAATCGATGAATTTCCCTTCTCCAATTGTAATTTTCACATCTGATGATTTTGGATCTTTGTAGAGGGAGGACAGACTGTTGACAGTAGATGTTGAAGGACGTCCATGTTCGAACCAATGTAGTGGTGTCACAGTTTTGAATCGATAAATCTTGGCGAGATACTTTTCAATTCGTGGCTCCTTTTCAATGTCAAAGCAAGGTAATGGTGAGTTAGAACCAACATATTCCAAACAAAATCTTTGGACTCTCTGCAAAAGTCCACACAATACTTCTTGAGGAGCTTGTTTTTCCCTCTCCAAATATGAATCAATCAGTTCCAAACTATCGATTGCTACTCTGTCACTGAAAACATTTTTAAACTGTTTGAGCAAATAGTTGACTTTAAAGTCAATCAATTCCGCCTTGGCTCTGTTCACTAAGAAAATACATGCAATAACTTCTGCGAGTGAAAGATTGCGGACAGGTAAGCATGAGTCTCTTGAACTCATAATGAAATCAATGATAAATTGTAAACATTGTTGCTCGGACGTTGTAAGAGTTTGTATGAGTCTTTGATTAAGGAGAACGTGTTGTGTAAAATTTGGCACCACAATCTTTAAAAATGGAATAAAGGCAAAAACTTCGGTTCCAAAAAGTAAATCACGATTATATTTCTTAATGCAATTCCTTTGATTCACGGAAGACACTCGAGTTCCGAATGAAAAATTGGTGTTGGCTGCTAATTTAGAAAATGAAATTGGTGTTTCTTCAGATGAAAAATCTTTAACATTCACAAACACGTCATAGGTGCTAAGATTTTTGCTTGTGTTCACGTTGTTGAGACTGGTAGTGGCTGCTGGTAACAAGGAGGAATTTCTTAAAGATGACGCAACGCCAAATGAAAATGGATTGTTGTTTCTATTGACTTTAGAACTTGTTGTGGACTTGTCCTGGGTTGTTGTTTTGGAAGATGTTGTAGATCCATTGTCACCAAATACAAAAGATGGTTTTGAGAGAGGAATGTTGATGGTCGAGGAATGATCGCTGCTCGTGGTGTTATTGCTATTGTTCGTAGTAGCAGTACTGTTACTACAACTCGTATTAAGGCTTGATGCTACTGCGATAACTGTTGCTTTTGGAGATGTCGTACTTGATGCAGAGGTTGCTGATGATGACGCTGCTGGTACAGAATCCAAGGTTAAGGCAGTAGATGGTGGAGGGTGCGTATCATCATTGACCACCGTTAAAGGTTTTGCCGACGCTTGATCAAGCTCATTGGCTTCCGTTGTTGCTGCATCCGTTGTGCTTGCAGAGTTAGTAGTGAGACTTGTTGGAGTCTTCTCGTTATTGGAGAGTTGCAGTGTTTTCATGTGATCGGACAAAGGTTCGGAAATAGTCATACTACTCGGTAATGTTGTTTTGCCTTTATCATTACAGCCCGAATTGGTCGTACAAGATGTTGTAGCAATATTGGAGTCATTAGAAACAGTTGTCTCTTTCTGATCACTATCATTCTCATTGTTGATGATGATTGTACTCATGGTTGTAGAAGGAGGAAGGGAGAACGGGCTCGAAAAAGGATTGGATGTGATTGGTTGTTGTTGAAACAAAATTGATGATCCAGTTTCTACACTGCTACAAGAAAAGGGATTACTTGTTGTTGATGATGATCCGAATGAGAAGGAAGAAGAAACATGATGATTTTTCACCAGCTCTGAAGATCTCCACTGAGAAGAGACAGAACCAAGACCCTTTCGCCTCTGATAAGAATCACAAGATTGTAAACTTTGAGACATGTCTCTTTGTTCCTTTTCATCATTATCCGATGAGGAAGAAGATGTTGGTGAGGAGTAGTAGGCTTTATCGCGAACAGGAGCTCTGAGTCGAGACATTTTTTTGTTTTTTGTACTGTCACATCATTGTTCCCTTAGAGATGATCTAAATATGAAACAATTAGTGAAGGTTGTTGATGTTATATTCTTTGAAGCCATGTATTCTGCATTACCAATCAAAAAGAAGACTTGATTTATAAAATGTAAGGTGTGTTTTAACAGCAGAAACCGTTGCCAGTGTTGACAAAGTCAACCTAAAAAATTAACAAAAATTCAACTGCGTTTGCAATGATGAAAATTGGTCCAAATATTCCTCCACCAGAAATATTAGATTTCTTGTTCATTAACAAGAGGCGTTTTGTTTGGTTGTTTATTAACATACGCGATATCGCCACCTAAAAAATTTAAATTTCCGAATCCCGAGTTTTCTCGCGCTGTGGCTTGTGGCTTTCTCAGTTGTAACCAAACGGTTGATCCATTTTACGGTTAAGCTTAACGGGTCGATTTTCCTTAAAGTACTTCTATAGGCAAAACATGCGATCTTTCAGCAAGCGTGTTTTTACGATGCGCCAAAAGAAGCACTTTAAGGAACACACGCCCACAAAAAACATTTTCACGATGAGGCTACGTTTGATATTGTTAATTGCACTACTTCTTTGTGATCATTTCTCAATGAGAATCAAAGCCTTTCCAACTCCAACATTGATTGATACTGTTGTTGGAGGAAATTCGTATGGAGATGGAGTGAGAGCATTGGATTCTGTGATTGCATCCACTTCATTATTCATTTCTCCATACTCTGGTAATATATATTTGGCCGATAGAAACAAGATTAGAAAATATAATCCTCAGACTGGTTTGATTACTGCTGTGGCTGGAACTGGAGCTAGTGGAAATTCAGATGATGGAATCAAAGCAACTCAAACAATGTTCAATACAGTCTCATCCATAGCAAGAACAAAAAGTGGAGATATTGTTTTTATTGAAAGATTTGCTTATAAGATCAAAGTGTTGAAAAGAAATGGACGATTGATGACCATTGCAGGTATTGGAACATCAGGGTTTTCAGGTGATGGTGGATTAGCAATTAATGCAAAAATCAATCCTTCCAATGGTGACATTGCCATTTCTGAAGAGGGAGATATTTATTTTGGAGATATTGGTAATCATAGAATCAGAAAAATCTTGACCAACGGTACCATTGTAACAGTGGCAGGGACAGGTTCTTCTGGATATTCAGGTGGTAAGTTTGTTTTGAATGAAATTTCACGTAATCATTTTAATTCTGACAGATGGAGGTTTGTCAATTAATGCCAAATTATTCAGCCCTTCTGGTATTGCACTCTCCAATACGAGTGAGTTAATTATAATGGATACCAACAACAACAGAATTAGAAAAATTCTCACTAATGGTACTATTATCACAATTGCTGGAGATGGTACGGGAGGATTTACAGGGGATTCAGGACCCTCAACTTCTGCCAGAATATACAGACCTACATCAGGAAAATTCAATTCTAATGGCGATTTGATATTTGCAGGTACGTTGGTTTTGGATTAATTTTCACATAATCTTCATTCTGTCTCCCTTAGATAGCTACAACTACAGACTCAGAATTATTTATTCCAATGGTACAATATCGACAATTGCTGGAGTTGGCTCGCTCGGATATTCAGGAGGTATGTTTTGATTAACACGCTAATTTTCACATTTATTCAATTCTGTCAGACGGAGGAGATGCATTATCGGCACAACTTAGTTATCCCTCCAGTGTCGCATTGTTTAATGATGAAATTTATTTTTTGGATTCGAGTAATAGGGCCATTAGAAAGATTAATTCTAATGGAATTATTTCAACAGTGGTCGGAAGTAGTGCATCCACATTTATTGGTGATGGCTATGATGCTAAATTGGCTAGTATAAATTTATTGGACTCATTTTCCGTGAACAATAAGACCATTCTTTTGAATGACTATAGATCTATCAGATACGTTTCTTCGGACGGAAAAATATCAACCATTGCTGGTACTTTGAACAGTGGTGATTATTCTCCAGATGGCACTTTAGCAAACAATTCAAAACTCAATCCTAGTTGTGTTTACAATGGTGGTAACGAATTTTTTGTCTGTGATCAAGGTGCTTATATTAGAAGAATTAAGAACAATATACTAGATACCGTTGCTGGATCCACTGATATTTTTACTGGCAATGAAGGTCCTGCTAACACTTCAATCCTAACAAGCGCCTTTGGAGTCACTGTTAAACCATCCACAGATGAAATTTTTATTGCTCAAACTTTATCCTCCTCTTCCATAAGAAGAGTAGATTCGAGAGGAGTTATTTCAGTATACGCTGGCATTATGTACAACAGATCTGTATCCAATGACGGATTATATCGTCTCAATACGGCATTCAAGGATCCAGTCAAGGTTGCATTTGCTTCTAATGGAGATATGTATGTCTGTGAATTTGGTAACAACAAAATCAGAAAAATTTCAGCGTTCACTGGATTAGTTTCAACATTTGCTGGTAAAGTATCAGGAAGTGTTGTTGACGGTGATTTGGCTACGAATGCACTGCTAACAAGTCCCGTTTATATCACTGTGGCACCAAATGACGATGTGTATATTTCAGAAAGTGCTAGCATTAAACGGATTGATGCAAGTTCAGGACGAATATATAGGTATGCAGGACTGTCAGGAAGCTCTAGTTCTGGATATTCAGGAGATGGTGGCAGAGCTGTAAATGCAAAACTTTATACACCAGTGGGAATCAAAATGACTTCAAGTGGCGTGTTATACATTGCAGATCAATGGAATCATCGAATTAGACAAGTTAATGCCAGTGGTTTTATCTCAACAATCACAGGAACAGGAGAACGTAATTTTACAGGTATGTTTCAACTAACCTTTCAATTATTGGTGATCTTTGGATTTTTCAGGAGGTTTGTTTCTATGAAATGTTTTATAATCATTTACATCCGTTTTCGGGTAGATGGTGGACCGGCACTACAAGCAACCATTAATCGACCTCTTGGACTCGCTGTTTCTCCAATTAATGGTGATGTTTATTTTGTGGACTCTGGAAATTTCAGAATAAGAAAATTCACACCAGGCGGAAACATTTACACGGTTGCTGGTTGTGGAAGGAGTGGCTACAAAGGTGACGGCGCTTTGGCTATCAATGCTTGTTTGACAGGTCCATATGATTTGGAATTTCTTCCAAATGGAGAGCTGTTGATTATCGAAGGAAATAATAGAATTAGAAAAGTTGATTTGAATGGAATTATTACATCCATTGTTGGTGGTGTGGGAAATGAGGCTATTGCTGTAAATGGCTCTGTTTTTCCAACTTCTCTCGATAGAGATGCTCAAGGGGCTTTTTATATTACAGAAAACGCAAGGAATGACATTAGGAAACTTGACCAAAACTATTACATACATGCATTTGCAGGATCAACAATGTCCGATTATGGTGCTGAGAATGAGCATCGTCTTGTTACTGATTTCATAAGCGTTAAAGATATAACTGTTGCATTGAATGGAGAGTTTTTGGTGAGTGATGGAAATCGCATTAGGAAAATTGACTCGAGCGGTCTTGTAACAACCATTGCTGGTAATAGAGTCTCAAATTACTCAGGTGATGGTGGATTGGCAATTAATGCTCAACTCAGTACTCCTTATAGTGCAGTCATGGCATCTAATGGAGACATTTACATATCTGACTCAAACAACAGAAGAATTAGAAAAATTGATGGGAACACTGGAATCATTACAACAGTCGCGGGCAACGGCAACAGTGGATATAGTGGCGACTTTGGGTATGCATCCCAAGCATTAATATCACAACCAACTTATATAAGAATGGTGGATAGTGATGTGTACTTCATAGACTATACCAATAAGGTAATCAGAAGAATTGCAACTGAATGCCCTCGTTACTCCCAAGTCAATCCAACTAATGTCTCAGATTGCATTTGCTTACCTGGATATTACGGAGAGTTGTGTGAAGATTTTGACTGTTTCGGAATTAATCAGGCCAATGGAACATCATGCTCTGGAAATGGTATATGTACTGCACCAGATACATGTCAGTGTGCAGAGACTTATTATGGTGTTGAGTGTGAATCCTTTTATTGCTTTGGAGTGTTGAAAAATGAAACCAATGTTTGTTCAGGACATGGCCAATGCGTTGAATCTGACACGTGTGCTTGTGAAAATGGGTATCAAGGTCCACAATGTGTACATGTCTGCTTTGGTATTGATGCAACACATTCACAGGTTTGTTCTGGAAATGGACAATGTGTTGGACCTGATTTGTGCAATTGTACTTCTTCTTATTTTGTTGGAAACTATTGCCAAAATCCAATTTCTTGTTTCGGAATACCATTCAATGATTCGAGTGTTTGTTCTGGAAATGGACAATGTATTGAACCTGATTTGTGCAATTGCACTTCTCCTTATTTTGGATCTAATTGCCAAAATCTTCTTTCATGTTTAGGAATACTATCCAACGATTCGAGCGTTTGCTCTGGAAACGGACAATGTGTTGGACTTGATCAATGTAATTGTACTTCTCCTTATTTTGTTGGAAACTATTGCCAAAATCCAATTTCATGTTTCGGAATACCATTCAATGATTCGAGTGTTTGCTCAGGGAATGGACAATGTGTTGGACCTGATTTGTGCAATTGTACTTCTTCTTATTTTGTTGGAAATTACTGCCAAAATCCAATTTCATGCTTTGGAGTACCATTCAATGATTCGAGAGTTTGTTCAGGAAATGGACAATGTATTAATCCTGATTTGTGCAATTGTACTTCCCCTTATTTTGGATCTAACTGCCAAAATCTACTTTCATGTTTTGGAATACTATTTAATGCTCCAACAGTTTGCTCTGGACATGGACAATGTATTGGATCTGATCAATGTAATTGTACTTCTCATTATTTTGATGGAAACTATTGCCAAAATCCAATTTCTTGTTTCGGAATACCATTCAATGATTCAAATGTTTGTTCTGGAAATGGACAATGTGTTGGACCTGATTTGTGCAATTGTACTTCCCCTTACTTTGGGAACAACTGCCAATCCTTACCAAGCTCTCTTTCATGTTTTGGAATTAGTTCAACAGATCCCAATGTTTGTTCAGGAAATGGACAATGTATTGGTCTTGATCAATGTAATTGTACTTCTCCTTATTTTGTTGGAAATTACTGCCAAAATCCAATTTCATGTTTTGGAGTTCCATTCAATGATTCAAATGTTTGTTCAGGAAATGGACAATGTGTCAGACCTGATCAATGCAATTGTACTTCCCCTTACTTTGGGAACAACTGCCAATCCTTACCAAGCTCTCTTTCATGTTTTGGAATTAGTTCAACAGATCCCAATGTTTGTTCAGGAAGAGGACAGTGTAATTCAACTGACCATTGTATCTGTACATCTATTTCAAATGCTGCTGTACATGGAAATGCGTGCCAAAATGTTCAATGTTTACCAAATTATTATGGCTCGTCTTGTGAACAATATTGTGAATTCAGTACGAATTGTTCTTCTCATGGCGTATGTTCAAACGATGGAAGCAATTGCACATGCTTTTCAAATTCAACTTCTGGATTTTGGACTTCACCAAATTGCTCCATGTGTACGAGTGAATATTATGGAGAATTTTGTTTAACAAGATTTATTCCCAGCGTTAGATTTAGTGACGATGCTACCCAACTCTCGTTCAAATTATATGCACCTTTTTATTATTCATCCTTGAGTGTTACTTGCTCTCATTTAGTGGATTCATCTAGTATTAATTTGGGAAGTAATGCTGTTTGTACATGGAATGACAAGACCAATGGTGATTTTGTGATTGTTTTGGGAAGAGATCATTCAGTTCAAGTTGGTTCTACAATCAAGATTAATGTTCGTGTTTTTGATATGGTTCATAGTAGTGAGTATATTCAAACATTAGTGCTTGCACCACTCGTCATTATCAAACCAATTGCAACCATTACAACTGTGCCAACAGAATACAGTTCATGTGACCAAGTTGTCGTCCAAGGATCAAGCAATTCATTATTGGTGAAATATAACTGGACAATTCTCTCTTCACCAGGGGTGTTGACGCAACAAATGATTGGTATTACCAATACCTCAAGTCTAGAATTCAATTCAAATGCTCCATCTGGAAGTTATTCAGTTCAGCTAGTGGTGACAAATTTTTTCAATGTTGAAAGCGATGCAGTCACGTTTAACTTTACAAAGATAGCCTCTGCTATTCCAAAAGTTGAAATCTATTATTCCAACCAAATGTACGTGAACGTAGACCGTATGCCTGCGTACATATTGAAATATTTGACGTTCACAGGTTGTTCGCTCAACGATACTTTTGATTCATCTGCAGTTTCTATCGAGTGGAAACAAACTCAAGGCCCCCCAACCAATTTTACACAATTACCCAATAACGATTTGATGATCCATTCATTCTCCAACAACACTGCTCAAGATTACATATTTGAAGCAACTTTGACCTATTTCAACTCATCAAAATTCACAACTCGAGTTGATATTCATACGCTGGAAGAAGAATATGACATTGTTCTCTATGAATCATCCATTACATCCACTCAAGCAACGATCAAAGTGGAAACAAATCCATTTGAAAAAATTGACTCTATCAATAGGTACGAATGGGCTTGGAATTGTGTCAATTCAGATGATCAAACTCAGTGTGATCAATCCATGTTGAATTTCTTATATACTCAAGCTTCACTGAAATCAACGAGTTTTGTTTTACCTCTTTCTGGATCAAAGACATCCATAGATTTGAGATTGACTATCAACAACAGAATTGGAAAACTTTCATTGAGATTCCCTGAAGATGAAACAGTTCCAGTGATTAGTGTGCTGTCACTTTCTCCTACTAAAAGTTATCTCACTACTTCTGAAGTTCTAAATATTCAATTATTGGTTAGTTTGAATGGACAAGTTGAAGGAATTAACTCGTTGCTGTCAAGAGAGTGGACCCTTAATGGCCAATCTATTGCTCCAACCATGTTATTGGATGGATCTGACATTATCAAATCCAACAAGATTTTATTGGATATTTCTAAATTAACTCAAGGATCATCTCATACATTAACATTTAGAGCAGCAACCTTACATGGAAAGTCAACAAGTTACACCTATTCATTCTCAGTAGCTATGAACCCAACACCTTGTTCATGTTCAATTTCACCATCAAGCGGATATGCTCTAGAAACTGAGTTTACAATTTCCTGTCCCAATTGCCTACAAAGTGAGAATATCTTACAAATCAGCTTTTTAGATCGCAAAACTGGGTTGAAAATTCCTCTGGTTGAAATTAACAATCCACAATTTAAAACTTTGTTACCATACACTGGTGAATCTGAATCTGTCACTCTCTATTTTGTGAATAAGAATATTCAAAGCAATGCCAAAGCTGAAACATCCATCCGTACGAATCTCGTTCTACCTTTGACATATTCGTTGACTGAAGCCAAAAAGAAAAAGATATTTTGGGATGAATGGTACAAGACACTTGCTTCTGGAGATCCAAGAAAAACTGTGTTGGGATATATTACCACAACCGTTGATGCAATGATAAAAAAGATAACAAGAAGGTCACAAGTCTCTATTTCACCAGATTGTGTTCATGGTTTTTACGATTCAGTGATCAATATTTGTTTTTGTAATGAAGGGTACAAGAAGAGTGATTGCAGTATGACAATTTCTGAATGGTTGGAAAAGTCAAACACAAAATGGAATACTTCAAAACTAATTTTTGACGAAATGAAATTTAGAAATGAGCTTGAACCTCAAAATGAAATCAAGCTTTCGTCACAAATATCTGAAATGTATCACTTATTCGAAACGTATGACGAAATCAATCAGGAAACACTTGACATGGCTGTGGAAATTTTCAAAAAGCAACTCAAAGATGTTCTTAAATTGCAATCTTTAATTCTATCCAGCTCATTGACAAATGTCATGATTAGTACATTGGAATTAATGGTCAAAGCAAGACTTTCTCTTACCACAAACGTCACTTTAGATTTATACAATGACATTTTATCCATGAGTGAAGATTTATCAAGCATTCAATTGAGAAATCAATTTTCATCGAAAATTCAAACTAACCTTTTCACTCTCGTTGCTAGAAAAGCGTATCCATCAGAGTTGTCAGACATGAGCATTTCATACAATGGTGACAATGATACTGTCCATTATCCTATTTGGATGACCAAGTATTTTGATCGCCTTGATTTGAGAAAACAGGTCTTTTGCAAAGTGATCAGAAAATCAGTTCCATCCACAATTACTGAATCCCATGCAATGAGTGCTCAATCGGAAATTTACACAACATTGAAAAGTGCCACCTACACTCTTTCATCTCAAATTGTGAATCAAAATGTAACAATTCCATCAAGTGATAAGGTAGTGTCCTATTCATTCTATTTTGTTAGAAGCAATTCAGATTCAACAAATATAACAACTGAAGGAAATGTTGTCAAGAATGAAACCATCTCTTCAGAAATGATTTGTCAAAGTGACATTCCTTGTAACGTTGAAAGTTTGGGGAATAATTACTATAGGTGTCAATGTGCACAATCCACTCAAGTTACACTTGTCGAGAAAACAACAAGATCAATCACCATCCAGCAGCAACCACCACAACCACCACAAGTTGAGAGTTCTAATCTTGCCTTTATTGGTTTCTTGGCATTCCTGATACCTGTTGCTGTCGTTGTGAGTGTTGTCGCAGGATTATCATTTTGTCGCATTTGCAGGAGAAGAAGGAAAAAGCCCACTTTGAGCACCAACACCGACCACAGTGTTCCACAAATAGAGCTCAGTGCATTCAGCACTGTTTAATCTTCAACATCCAACAATCTCACCAATATTTTAATAAATAACTTAATTTTAATAAGGACTCTTTTGAATATTGTCAACAACAAAAGTTGTCAAATAAATTTTTGAATCTGTCAATGCATAGTATCTCAAAGCAGATTTATGCCATTTCTTGATACTTGTTCTTACCCATACATCCCTTAATGAGATCAACTGGTAACATAATTCCATCAAGTAAAAGGAATGGTAAATCCTTCCAGAATCCAAATTGTGGAATAATTTCAGTTCCTGACTTCTTCATGGCAAACTTCAAAACAAGAGCTCCAATAATAAAGTAAAGAATGAATCCAACAAGCAACAATGTCAACAACAATCCACCAATACCATATTGTCCCATAATTGGTTCATCACTTGGGTTATTTGGATCTGGTCCTGGAGCAGTATCAACACAAGCATACTTGGAGCTACCACTGACAGTGTAAGTACTAATGGCACCTGTGGTCTCACCGTCGAATGTGAAAGTGGTCGAGGCCGCATTTTGGTCACACTTCAATTTGATAACAAGTTCTCTCTTTGAAGTTCCATAGGCGTAGGCTTCATGAGTGATTTTAACACCTTGAGTTTCATCGGTTGGAACGAGAGGAACAATCTTTGGACTTCCCTTGGTACCAATAGGGTAGCAATCGTTCCACTTGGAGGAATATTGATAGGCTTGTGGAGTTGGTGTGAAGGAACATTTTCCAGATGGTGATGTAACAGGAAGTTCACAAACATTGCTAAAATATATTGATTTATCATCATCACGACCGTGTGAATCATCATGAGAGCACATTGGGACAGTGATCATCATGAAGTGTCAATTGACAACATGATGGATTTGTTGTCGTTCAAAATATTTTGAAGCAAACAATCCAAACATCATCATGGTAGACGCACACACAAGCACAACAATCATCATCATGATGTGAGCGAGAGTGAAGGTTCATGTCAAAATGGAATGACAAAAAAAAGCAGAAAATAATCCAGCCGTGGTAGAATGGCAACAATATCATTCGTAATTTCCAAATCGTGATCATTATTCAATCATCATCAATTTTCAAAAGATGAAGATTAAAAAATCTGAGACTCGACTTATTGTACTTACAAATAATAATCCCAATCTTGTCCAGTAATAATATTGTAACCACCTTGTTTATCCACGCTGGTAACATCAATGGTCTTTCCGTTCGTTGTCTTGTAGGTACAAGCGGCTTCAATGCTGTTCACCATCAGCAAGGTGAAAGCGAGGAATCCCAAAATGGTGGCAATGACGACTCTTCTCATTTTTTTTGTTGTTGTTGGCTTGAAAAAATCTTTTGTGTCAATTAGAAAAATCTTTGTTCGAATTGGAATAAGGGGTTTATTGTTGGATCTTCATCTCTGAAGAGATGGAACGAATAGGAATTGGAAGTCATCTCAGAGTGTACGACGAATTTTCAAAACGTAGATCAAGTTTGGGACCAATCGTTGCAAGAGTTCTACATGACAAACTCAATTTTGAATCGATTCACCTGATCAACGAGCGAGCGGAGAGATTTCTTTCTTTCGTATGAGGTCAGTAACTGCTTAATGTACTTTTCAAAGAGTTGTACCAGCATCTTTTTTGCCTCTATATCATCCCCAAAGAATTTGCCTCTTGAAGTTTGAAAGGTCTCTGCGTTCATCATTGCAGAGAGAGCTTCAAAACACAACACTCTTTCATTGTCACCAATTTGGGCGCAAGTCTTGTAAAGAAACCGGATGGCTTTAGGAAGAATTTGTCTGTCAATGGACAGAGTACATATCTTGGTATCATCTAACCGATCTATATGCACAAATAAAGCTCTAAGGAAATCAAAAATTGTAAATTCTGCTGTGCGATAGACTTCTTCGCCATTCAATTTTTGCTTGGAGTCTAAAAACAAATCCTCTCTCAAGTTCTTATTAATGAAATCTAAATATTGATACACGTCAATGGTTTGCAAGGCTTCAACAGAATGGAAACAGTACTTGAGCATTAAACAAAGAGACTGTTCAAAATGTTTCATCTTTTCTTGGAGTTCCGACTCTGAAGCGAGGCCAGTATTGGGCAGAATGTCAGTTGACAGAGATTTCACTCCGAGCCGTATTTTCAATTCTTCATCTTTAAATTCATCCAATAGTCTCAATAGTAAATTAATTTTACCCTCTTCTATTAAGAATCGGATGCAATATTCATCTCTATCCCACAAAGTATTTTCTGAATTAAATGATGTTGAAATTGCTTGTTGTTTGTGATTTACAGATGAATGAGAGGACGAAGAAGTATATGATGATGTTGAAATCAAGCTAGAAGCTGTAGAGGGTCTAGTTGTTGATGCTGTTGTGCTTGGTTTTTTAGGGCCAAACGAAGAGCCACCAAACAAATCCGTAGACCCAAATTGAATATTACTCTTCTTTTTTCTTGGATTGTTACTGAGGGATGAAGCAGTGGATGGTCTGGAGATGCCTGAAGATTTGTTCATTACACTCGATAGATCTTCCGTTGCTGATTTCTCTGACTTCACAAGGTCATGGGTTGGCTCTTCATGTGATTGCAATGAAGGAATGGAATGATTTCCTAGCTCGTCATTGACTGCTACTGAAGAGGTATCATCCTTCTCAGATGCTGATTCTTCAATTTTTTTACATTCTTCCTTATTGAAATGTGCAGTGATCGAGTCAAAATTCATGTCTTCTCGTTCCATACGAACAATCTCTGAGATTTTCTCCAATTTATCACAAAGAAGAACCCATTCTGACATTGGTGATCCGAAAGGGTAATGCACATCGGGAGAGGTGGTGTATACGAATATTAGGAGTGTTGTATTTGGACCATGGTGGTATCATTAATTGTTCGTGGTATTTCAACGCAATATTCATGTTTTTGATAATTACATTGTATGATCACCCTCCCAAAACTCACCTTTTGAAAACATGGTCGGAAATTTAATTTCCTTGATATCCTTACGAAGATCATCAGCAAATTTCTGAGTAATAGCCTCCAGTTTCTTGTTGATTTCTTCACCTCCCGAATGATAATTCTTTTGCCTTCTCTGAGTAAACATTTTCCAAGAAATACTTCGAATCAATCAATTGAAATTTTTTATAATGATGGTTGTAGTTTACCTTGTTTTTATATTCTTGTTGTAAAGAGTATGGCGGGTATTGGAAATTCTTAAGAAGGCACGAGATGGAAGTATTTGAGTTTGATTGGCACGTCTCCTCTCTGGTGCTGTATTCCCAACAACATCCAGGGTACCTTTTAAAGCGATCATCATGAAACAAAATTACGTGTCATTATAAATCTAACAAGTTTTGTTGTAGTCATTAAGGCAGGACCCAACGTTGGAAGAACATCTCTCATCGTTGAGCTTGCTTGGCTGAAAAAACACACAACAACAAAAAGTTCATGAGAGCTAAAAATATTGTTTCAACAACTTTGAAAAAATTAAAAACACTTCTCCAATGCTGCCGCAAGATCTTCCCATTGAACTGCAATTTCAATTATTGTGGTATTGTGATGAGAAATCTCTATTAAATGTAGCTCTCACGTGCCGACATTTTTATCATTATATTTTGGGAGAAGAGGATGAGAGTGAAGTGAGCGCCTATAGGAATACTATATGGAAGAATCGGATCTTGTTCTTATTCAATTCGTTCATTGATGAAGTCAACAAGAAAGCGCCTTCATCTTCTGCATCTTCCGAGGCTCCTCTTGTAAAATTGAATACATTCAAAGAGTCTGATCTCAACACGTACATTGATCAATTTCTGTACATCCGATCCGATGATTACAACAACAAGAAGATAAAATACAATTTACTATTGAACCAATTGAGTCAGATACAATTCAGACAAGAGCGTGATCTTACTGGAGCTAAAAAGGTTGTCATTTCGGGAAGAACGATTGAAAATACGTCTGTGCACACTTGGTGTGGCTTTATTGCAACCAATTATCCCATGGTTCGTAACCTGAGTGAGTTACCTTCAAACTTTTATTGTGGTTTTAGAGGCTTTGAACTTGTCGTGGAGAAGTATTATATTTGTGGAAATGGGTGGAATATTGTTTATGGAATTGGAACCGACTATGTTGAGTTTAATAATGATAAATCCATTGCTCAATTTGTGAATGATAATCTTGGCATTGGATATATATTAGAGTGTAGTGGTTTCAAAATGTTTGGAAATTACAAAGATTTTACATCGAGTGGAAAGGTACAAGTAGGAGACAGATTTGCCATATTGATGGATCATGACAAGTACAAGGTGCACTTTTTCAAGAATGGTCTTCATATTGCAACGGTAGAGGCCAACTCAGACACGTATGGAGTGATTTCAGATTCCGTTGTCTATTATCCAATTGTATCCATGTGTACTCAAAAATCTGTGACGCTCTATCCATTGCTTCAATCCGAGTATTTCATAGATCCAGATACTAAAGTATTACAGTATTATGATAACCAACATCCACTACTCATCAAGAAGTATACCTCGAATTCAAATTAACATGTGAAATTGGTAAAAGCAATAGATGTCACAATGTGAGCTTGGTGTGATTCCTCGTTACAACCTACTACTACCAGCGCTGTCTCGATCTTACAATCCCACTCAAATACAATTGTACAATTAGAAATGACTTTTTTGAAGTTTTCTCAAGCTCCATCTCCAAGTAGTGAGGTTTTTTAGCTTGCTCCATCAACAACTCTTGAACCTTCTCATCAAACAAGTAATTGAAAGATTCTTTTGTATAAGATTCACATTTTCCAAACAAGACATGTTCCATCGTCTCTTCAGATGCATGAAACTGACCTGACGATGCACTTACAGCACTCGGACTCTTGTGTTCCCTTATGAGCTCTTGTCCATAGTCATTGAGAGAATTTTTCAATGGATACACAGCTGCTGTGGTTGTTGTGAAATTTCCAATGTCCTCATTGCCACTCGGAGCAGTAGCAACCCCAATTTCATCCTCACTCACAATACTCTCACTTCGTGTCAATTGATCATCATTTTCATCCATCGTGATCTTGGGAGCGTGTTCCTTCGATCTTCTCTTACCAGCAATGAGTAAGGGAGTGGAATGTTCAAACCACCAAGGTTTACCATCCCATTGCTCATCCAACAAGTATCCATCAAAGATGGATCCTAATGGCACATAGCACTCTCCCAATGGTTCATTGTGTTTGTATCGATCGTAGTCAAATACTTTGAAATGCACATAACCGAGGTGTGAAGAAAGGTCTCGGTGGGGTGAATGAGAGGTCGTACGAGCTGGTGATCCACGATTGGAACAAGCAGAAGAAGCAGCTTGAGAAATGTTTCCCGATGCTTCTGCTGTTGAGTTGGAGGCCGACAGTAATGAGGATGAAGTCAGAGTGGATGAGGAAGCCGATGCAGAAGGATGAAAAATTCGAGAAAGGTGAAACCTTTTCGGCGATGACCTTTTTGTATCAGAGGATGACGAGGAAACAGAGGAACGTTCAGGGGAGTGTTCTGTGGTGTTGCAATTTTCTTGTTTCTTCATCATGAAGAGAATATCATTCAGTGTGAGTACATTGGGTCTAAAATCGAAAAGCAAGACTTCATCCCAACATGGGCATAGGGAATCTCGAATGACTGAAGTTCGTTTGGTTTGACCATTGAAAGTGACTTCTACGAAGGGATCACTGCTCAAAGTGAGACGATCTTTGGGCTCTAAATGTAAGGCAGAGACGACATGGACGTGTAGTTGAGTCATTCAGGAATAAGAATTGGTTTCAATTTTTTAGAACATGTTGGGTGTTTCCATTGTGTTTTTCATTTTTGGTTAATGACCATTCATGAACAAGAGTCAAAGCTTTAGATCAACTCCTAACAAAATACATGTCGCCAATGGTTTCGTTGAAGTCGCCGAATGGCGGTTTTAATAATAGAATGAAAAATTCAGGTGGTGTTTTCTTGCAACTGTTGTCGCACTCAAGTAACCTTTGAACACATCTCGTTACGAGGATGAAGAGAGAGATTTCACACATTTGCTCTTAATGGAGACTTTTCCAGTATTAAAATCCATATTGAAAATATTATTTAAACCATTATCACCTCTCAGTCCAAGTAATTAACACCTGTTTCACATCATGTTCAACACTTCTTGATGATTTACAGAAAACACAAAAAGTCTCTCTATTAATACCTCTCCGAGTTGAAAGCAACATCCTTCCGTCCAGCAAGTGCAATTTGAAGTCGTTGTCGGATTGACATTTCCTCTCGTGTACTGGTATTCGTAGCCGTGCGAGGTGGTGCTTCGTACCGACGCATCATGTTCTTAAATGATTTCGATTCAAGATCAGTAAGAGCCAATAGTTGAACTGACATTTGGATATTCAATGTGTACAAGTCCTTTTCATATTCTTTCACCAATTGCTCATCTTGAGTGGAATTTTTCAACTCTAAAAGACGTTCCTTGAGCCTTTCCATGCCCTCAAGTGTGTTCTTGATTTGATCTTGTTTTGGTTTTAATGAAATTGGTTTTGGCTTTGGTTTACGTTCCAATTGAGCACGACCAATTTCCGAGAGGACAGTAAATTCCTTTTGGGATGTTTCAAACAGATCAGAATGAATGTCCGTAATGGCGTCCAACAGGTCTGGATGATCCTTGATTTGTTGATACAAACGAGTGCCTGCGGAACAGATGCCTTGCTTCTCGGAAGGAACAGTTCGTAGCCGCGAGATGGTTAGATAACAATATCGGTTCATAAATTGTTGATACTTGTCGAGAGTGGGGCTGATGGGCATGAAAAAATCGGTTGGAGCCGATGGTTTGAGTTGTCGTTTCTTCCATGAGAGCAATGCTTGATGTTTGACCATTTTGTTTTGAGTTAAATTTTAACGGTGGTTTTTGGAGGGAGAATTTGAGTTGTCAGGTATTTAAAGAATTTTGAAAATACTTTTAATGTGGTTGGAAAGTTCAGGTGGCCGAGTGGTTTTAAGGCGTCAGCCTGCTAAGTTGATGGAGAAATCCGCGTGGGTTCGAGTCCCATCCTGAACGTACCAATAGTTTTGTTTGTTGTTTGGGACAAATAATAAAGACGAGGCAGCATTGTCATCTTTTATGTTGTTCACTGTTGTGTTGACCCACACCAATTTAGTAACCAAAAATCATTTCAAATAAACCTTGATGATTGCAATAAAAATACAATTAAAAATGTCTTCCATCAACAAGTCATCTTCCACAGGATCTTCTTCTTCTACAGCCACTCATGCTCCTCCGTGTCTACGAATCATGCTCACTGGAGTTGTTCCCACTCCTCTTCTAGGAAAATCCGTTTCGTTTGAACTCTCCAACCACACGTCCCGAGAGTTGATCTCCCTCACCATTTCTCAGTTTAAATTACGAATTTTAGATCAATTATTGATTGACATAGAAACTGAGGAAGAAGAAAGAAATAGTAATAATAATAGTAATAGTAATAACAATAATAGTAATAATAATACTAACAACAATAGCAAGCAAAATGCATCGTCATCATCGGATCATCATCTCCGTCATCATCACTCCAACTCGGAGACATCATCACCCTCTCAAAAAGTCAAACTCTTCATTTCTCAAGCCAAGATATTTGGATTTAAATTAATCAAAATGGGATTCGTGATGGAAGACTCTCAACATTTAATTAAATATTTGAAAAATTCCAATGTAACGGGAGGAGACCAATCCGAATTACCTACAACCACAACATTGCATGCCGTGTTTCAAGATTACAATTCCATGATTCAGGACGGACTAGAGCAAGTCGATGTCTATGGAAATCTCAAAGAAAAGCAAGGATTACAGGCCTTGTTGAGCCAGAGCAGTGAAGATGCAGCTCCATTTCATGCAGGAGAAATATCTGCATCTACTTCTCGAAATGGTTTCCTTTCATGTTGTCAAATTTTATAATCATGAATGAACAAGGATGACGACCATGGCATGAATTTGTGAAATGCACCACGATAAGTGTAGAAATTCAGTGACAACTATGGATATATTTGTATATTTATTCTTCTCTCTGTACAGTTACTCTCTCTTGATGAATGGTCACGACTACTACTACTACTACAACTCGATTGATAGAACTTGTCGACCCTCAAGAGACATGGTAAACACCACTCAACAACAATGGTTCCAACGAACGTGTGATCAAACTACTCTCTATCATAAAGTGTAATAATTATTTATGGAAATATTTATGGAAGAAATTTGAATCAGTCGCATTGGAAGGCTTATGAAGTTTAATAAGGAAGTCTAAAAAAATCCTCTCAATATCCTTGTGGTAGGTAGTGTTGTTTGTGAGGCCTTTTTGTTCGTTTAAACGTGGGATGAATCATTTGTTGGTTTTTATGTACTATGCACTAAATATCTTGTATTCTCAATATGCTTTCGTTTAACGTATATTTAATCGTTTCCTCACACATATTGAAGCCAAAATGCCCATTAGCTACAGCCTTATTACGGACGGCGTGGAATTGTTGGGAGATGGACCAAAGGATGATGTTCAACTCTCCTCTCTCATCATGGATAAAATTGTAAAGAAGGTTTCTAAGGATACGATGGAAAAGAGAACCCTCACTTCGGATGAGTACGTTTTTATTGAAGTGTCTTTGATCATCTTCATTGATTTGAATGGTTCTTATTGAAATGATTTATTTTCATTCCGATTGGATCACCTGTGGATGACTAATGGATCTTGATAATGATTCCTTATGGGTCATTCAACCTTGGAAATCGTTCCGAATCTCATAGAATTGAAATCCACTACAAAAAGAGTGGTAATTATGTATTCTTTTGTGTAGCCTCAAAGGACACTAAGAAGAGGCTATGCTGGTCGTTCATTGATGATCTTGATAGCACTTTTGCGGCCGTAACCAAAAAAAAGGATATCAGAGCCAATCGAAAGATGATCAAACAGAAAGTGGTAGGTGTTGAAGTGCTTCATTATCTGTGTTTCAACAATAATTTCAATAATTTTCAAACGGTCGTGATGTACATGATGAAATTCTCATGATTTAGGAAAAATGGAATGACCCAAACGCAGACAAGATTACCGTTCTGCAAGATAAATTGGAAACTGTAAAGGAATCCATGGTTGACAATATTGAAAAGGTTTTGGAGAGAGGAGAAAAATTCGAAACCTTGTACGAAAAGAGTGATGAAATGTTGGTAGAAGCAAATGATTTTAAGAAAGGAAGTGGTAAACTAAAGAGAAAAATGTTTTGGAGGCTTCTCGTGGTGATTATTATCATTATCATTATTTTACTGGCAATTATTATTATTGCCGTTCTTGCAGGATGTGGATTTCCAACGTTTGAGAGATGTGGTGGAGGTAGTAGCGGAAAGTAAGCCATGTATCATACCAAAATTACACTCTGTCTTTCCAGTTGAATGCTTGTAATTGAGCAAATTCAACAAGTGAAATTGCTCCTTGACAAATGACAAGTTATGAACTATAAACTCAGCTTTACTTCTCCTTAATACTTTAAAATTTCCAATAATTTTCTATTTTTCACAATACTTGGAAATAGTCCTCCACCTTCCGTGACAAAGAGAGAACTTGTTGCTTGTTCTCCTTTCATAGGTCTCAAATTTCTTGGTCCCAATCGAACCGAAGTTGGAAAAATCAAATCACTCATGACCACACTCGAATTCGATCCATCCCATGCTGAAAATTTCATGACTCTTCCTCCCAAGAAATCTGCACCATACATGATTTTTCCATCATGGGAAAGTGTAAAATCATCCAACGCTTCACAGGGAGCATAAAATTCTCGAATGACAAGATCTTCTCGCTTGACCTTAGGATTAAGGCCACTTGACAATTTATCCAAATCAATGACCAACACTTTTGAACCAATCACTTGAGACACATACAACCAATTTCGTTCTTGATCAATATAAGCACCATCTGCTGCATACAAATCAGTGAGAATGGTCGAATAGGATCGAGTCTGAGGATTCACTTGATACACCTGTCCGCCATACGGAAGAAACCCTCCTTCAGTGGTCACATAAAGTTGACGAGTTTTTTTGTGAAGCGCCAAACCATTTCCAATTTTTGGTAAACGTGTAACAATGTCATACTGGAATGGAATATTTGGATTCATGGAAATGACATACGATTCTCCATCTTGATGATTTCTCACAACCACATACAATTGACTGCCATCAGGAAATGGCACATGCGCAGAATAATTTTCGACACTAGAATTCTCATGATTTTCATGCAAAGCCACTCCCAAATAATTACTAAATGGACTCGTTTCAACATCAAGAAATACATGCTGCTCAAATTTGGCACTACTTTCATTGTAGAATATTTTCCATAACCGATCTCCAAAAGCATCACTCATAAAGGCAATTCCATTCCGATCGGAAATGATCAAATTTTCAGCCCATGTAAATCCACTCGCTACAACGACGAGTTGTTCATTCTGAGTAGAAGAAGAAGTACTTGGAGTTGAATCGGAATGAATGAACACTTGTTTGAGAGAATGATAGAGTTGAATTTTGCCGTAAATGATAAATTGTTGAAGAAGGAGAAGGAGAAGAGCGAGAGAGGAAACAAGAATGATGGCGAAGAGCTTGAGGCAATGTTTGACGTGCATATGTGTGTGTGCGTGTGTGTGCGGATCTGATCTCTCGAGTATTGTTGTGAATTTTTTTGTTGTGAAAATATATTCCAATCTCACAACAATTCTTCCTGTTCCTCCGGATTGAGTTTGGAACGAATTGGACTCAGGAAGAATTGTTCTCAAAGAGCTTTTCGAAAAAGCTCCCGAGTGTTGGCCACTGTGGTTGTATCATGAGTGCCAACGGCTCCACTCAATAGCGTTCCGGTGCTCTGGAATGAAAAAGTATGGTCCATTCAGATTTTGAAATTACTCTTTAAGAGTTTATTTACATTATTGCCTCTTCTTCTGTACAAAGTTAGCCAAATCGTTTAATCGTTTCTCGATTAACGAAACTTTTGCTTGAATGTTTGTGTCGCTTTGATTCTTTGCTGCAGTTTCGACAGCCAATGCAGATTGTGAAAGTGGTTTGCATGCAAGTTGTGCGCTTGATCCTTTCAGTGAGTGTGAATTAAGCTCCATAGTTGCCCAGTCATGTGTTTCAATGGATTGTTTGATCTTGTCAATTTGTTCCTTTCCAGCGGTAATTAATTCATCAAGCATTTCATACAAGAATTCTTCTTCACCTCCTGTTTGTTCGAGGGCAACTTCCATATCAATGGGTTCAACTTTATCCAAAGCCACTTCAATATGATGCTCAATGGAGTGAAGAAGATCTACAATATTCACTGGGCGAACAAAGCTTGCTTGACACCAATCTGTTTGGATGGGTGTTGAAGAGATTGTGATAATCGGAATTATTGGGTTTACCAATCTAATTTTTGGTACCAATTCGGTGATATGATCAAGATCATAGTTGAGAATGATGATATCTGCTTTTGTACTCTTGATCTGTGTGGTTGCTTGTGAAGGCGTTGTTGTTATGCAAGTGTAACTAAGAGCTTGAATACTTGGTAAGACTTGTTTTGCAAATTGCTGACTCTCATCGTCAACGAGGAGTATGGTAAATCCTTTGGCTTTGGCCAAATGTTCCGGTAAGGTTCCCATGAGTACAGGTATCGCAGTGGTAGTTGTTGTTGCAGATTTTGGTTCGAAGGATCCTTCCGATAATGAAAAAGTCGTGCCTTTTGATGATATGGGTGATGATGCACCAATGGTTTGGTCTGTGTGTGCAGTTGTTGTCGTAGTAGAATCTTGATTATTTCCCATACCAGAACCAGTTCGGTGGTGATGATAACTCGAAGTACGTGGTGGCGTTTGCGGATGATGATGGCTACTCGTCGTTGCCAAAGCTCTCTCTTCCCACAGACTCCTATTTTTTAGTAATGTCTCTCCGACCGTCGACTTCAAGGATGGGCAAAAAGTGAAAAGAGCATTAAACAACGGTGCTGCAATGTAGTCAATGAAATTGAGTTGCGATTTGGGACGGTCGACCGTTCGGCGATCCATTAGGGGAGAGATCGGAAGACCACGTTCTCGTTCCGAGTCTCCTTGTCTGAAGAATTCTTCGAGAACAAGATTGGCCCATTGTTCGGAAATTGGGAATGGACGAACAGCATTACTCACATCCGAGCATTTGAGAATGACTCCCATGAGTTGCAATTTGTCTTCCTTACTTTCTTTGGAGAGTGTCACACCTGTTTGGAGACGAGTTTGGAATTTGGTGAGAATTTCAAAGTGATGGGACATGTCTGTCGAGAGAATGGTGTTAATCACCAAACGTCTGAACTCTCTAAATTCATCCTTAGTTAAGCCAGAACAAATATTGTGTTTTCTGAGAATATAAAAGGCCTGAGAGGCGTGATGATTCTCCAATATGCTCACATCGTTGTAAATGAGAGCAAGTTCGTCCTTAACGTTAATAAGGTAATTATTGTTAACTCCTGGATGGCACACATCATGCATGGTACCTGCGAAAATTAAGGCAAATTTTTCAAGTGGAGTAAACATGGCAGAAATCTTATCGATGAGTAAGCAATGATAAACAAATTGAGTAACATCAACCGCGTGAGTAAAATTGTGATATGGATTCTCTTTGTAAGAGTTCTTGACAACCTGAAGCAGATTCACAATTTCTGTTGGAGGTATTTGGAAAATGTCAATGAGGCCTAAACTTTCAAACATGTGCACCACGAATTGAATCAATTCATCACTCGTATATTTCATGGCGTTGAAAGTATTGGCACCTATATCTTCGGGGATGGGTTTTGTCACAATATCATCTACTTGCTTGTGTAAAAGAGATGTTTGTTGTTCATTCAATGGATGGTGGTGATGATGAGGCGTGAGAGGTTTAAGCGAGACCGTAGTTGTTGCAGTGGATGTTTTCTCGTTAGTCGTGTTACTTGGAAAAGATGAAGCTGAGGAGGATGGTGAGAGTTTTTCAGGACTTGAAGGAGTTGTTGGAGAATTAGATGACTTGCTGGTATCCTCATTCATGAATTCGGTTTGAAGCCATCGTCTAGTAGAGTCATCAATTTCCCCTTTCTTCAACAAGTTAGAAAAGACAGGTTTGTAAAGGTCTTTAGAACCTAAAGATCGTAAAATTGCTATTAGAGCTCCCTTATAATTTTCCATCGAGTATTTTCCTTCCATTAGATCTGCAATGGTTTTCATGACTACTTGCATTGGAGTTTCAACAGCACTGCTCATTTGTGATTTGATTTGCTCCAATTCTTTTTCTTGCTCCTTAACACGAAGAGTTAGTTTTTTCCGATTAATTCGTTCATTCTTTAACATTTCTTGATAGGCTTTCTCTTTCCGCCTTCTCATTCTGTCTTCAAGACACATGTTCACACGTCTTTTTAAAATCTCTAGTTGAACAGGTTTTTGAAGGAAATCTTCTGCACCGCTTTGAAAGCATTGATTAATGGTGTCAGGGTCTTCGCTTGACGAAACCACTGTTACATGTCACAATTGTTAAGGGTTGATGTGGTTTGAATATTATATTAGGTATCAACATTTGAATTAATACAAATAAATTGTTAGATATCATTCAAACTTAATTGATTACATACTGATGATTGGCATGTCCTCAGAGTAAGCTTGTCTAAAGATTTTGAGCAGTTGTAGGCCATCCATGTCGGGCATGAGCACATCCACAAGTAGTAATCTGTATTTGCTTCCTTCCTCTCGGAGAACTTCAAGTGCTTGCCTTCCACCTTCTACTGCTTTGACTGTGGTGGGTCCACATGTAAAACAAAGTAGACATTGAATTCGAAGGAACAGTTGAAAGAATCATTCGAATGGTTGGGCAATAAAGAAATTTTCGTCATGAGAAATATTCATTGTTAATCAATGATTGATTAAGCAAAATAAACACATACCTTCAAATCCTAACTGTTCAAGTAATTTTGCTAAAACTTGTCGGGCCACTTTGTCATCATCTACCACCAGAACACGATTCACCTGATCATCGACATCAATATCAAACGATTGCAAGTTAGCAGGGTGCTGTGATGATTCGAGTCTGTTGGTATCGTCGTCATTTTGCAACTCGGAGGAGGGTGGGGATGAAGAAGCCCACGATGTAGACGATAATAAATCAGAAGCATCTTTGTTGTGAAGGTTGTATGGATCAATATCAACAACGGCGTGTCTTCGTCGGGGAGGCATGTGATGATCATGAGAAGTGTTACTACTGCTAATATCGTCTTTTGTTGTAATCATGATTGTACAATGATAATATTGTTCTGTTAGATTTAAATAATGTTTTTGTTTGAAAAAGATTATTGGTGAGTATTTAGATTCTGAATGATGCCAGAATTATTAAAAGCTTATTCGACGTCAAGTTGAAAAATACAACAACGACAAGATTGTTGATTCAGAGGTTTGCGGACCGTCTGGTGATCTATGACTCTTATCTCCGATTGAAAATGATGATTCAAATCGACTCGGAGGCTTGTACAAGTCGTGAGTAATGAAACAAGAACGTAACGACTTTGAATAGAACGTTACTGTTCGTACGTGTTTGTTTTGAAGAAGATGGTTATTAGTATTATTACTCTAGTTGAATGTCCGTACGGAGAGAAGCTTTCTCAATTCAGCACAAAAAGAATCCAATCTAATATGAGGGGAACGTTTTTTTTTGATTCTTGTTTTTGGCCTTATCTCCAACCAATCCTCAAAGAACAGCGCATTAAAGAATGGAATAGAAACAAATTGTCCATGATGGCGTTGTTTGATTCGATATACAATCGTGCATTGAGTATGGAGGAATGGTCAATAGCTCTTTCATTCCAAAAGGTTAAATCTCAAAGCAGCCATAGATGCCATTGCAATTGGTACTTGCTATAAAGCGTATGCTTCTATATTCATACATGAGTCATGCAATTTGCAGTCATTGGATCAAACATGGTAGTATCCAAAGCATGTTTTTGGTTATTTTTCATCGATTAGTATCATCGATGATCACCTGGCACTGTATTTCCCAAATTGAATAGGTTGATATCCATTCACTCCACATGTTTGGTAGTACAAGAGATGCACAATGTTAACCAATTACAGATTTATTGGCTGAATGTGGAGAGAGGAGTGGTACGTGGTATTTAGGCAAATTCAATGTACAAAAAACGGATGCGCAGAAACGAGAAGAATTCGTTCAAATTGAACCAAAGATTACGTCAGGACATGGACAGCATGTTATAGTGTGAGTGTAGTGGCTATTGTGTCTGTAAATATGTTTGGTTTTGCATGAAGTAAATTATTTCTTTTTCTTGTCGCTACTACTTTTGGGCATTAAGAGAGATTTGCTTACAGATGCTTTGAGAGAGGATGGGACCTTTGGTTTTTGAGACGTCATTGTTCCTTGCTTCAACTTGAATTCCAACTTGTTACTGATGTCTCTGTAAAAATTTTCAAGTGATGGATCCATTTGTATCCACTCTGAATGTTTATCCATCAATTTGCTGAGCTCTTTTCGACACCATTCCAATTGATCTCGCTCTGTTTTTCCCTTATAGATTTTGGGTGGTGTCGCTGCTGCGGTGGTGACACTTGCCAATTGAGCCTTTATGGCTGGATCATCCGTGTGAATGAATGGCAAATTAGATGCATTGGGTGGCTCCACGAGCGCATTAATGAGATGTAACCTCAATGAAACAGTGTACTCTTCGGGAAAATGTCTACAGTATCGATCGAGAGACTTGATAGCACTCTCCACCTCACCACCGTTCATGATCAATGATGCTACCACCTCTACAGCATGAGTAATGTGGAACGACGAGCTCATAAATTGAACCTCAAAAAATTCCTTATATAACTTTAAGGCGTGCTCGGGTTCAGCCATCATTAATTTACAATCGGCCATAGTTTGGACTTCAATGGGATCCATGGGTACTTGTAAATTGTTGAAGGAGAGTTGAAGGAGTTTGAGAGCGTCTTTTGCAACCTTTCCTCGTTGAACCTGATCGGGAGAGGCTGCAGCAGCTGACCATATTGCATTCGCTTTATGGAATAGCACTGGGAAAAATCGTAAGTGGTTGATGGTTTTGAGTGTTCCCTTTTCGAGAATAATTTTCTCAGCTTTTAAGACGTTTCTTAAGAATGAGGCAGGGTCTGCATCGTCAATGTCCAATGTGAAAACGTAAAAGTTATTGGGATCTTGTTTTTGGGCGAGTTTTGCATACTTTTTGATTTTTTCATCAGAAGTGTCATCTTCGGTCGCAAATCCAATGAGGTATGCCTTGAGAACAGACATGCACGAGTCGAGACGAAGTTCAACATCAGTTTCCCAATCTTTGAATGTGACATCCTTAAACTGCTCTTTGAGTCCCTTGTCCCACAACTTGACAACCTCTTTACAATGCTCATAGGCCTCTGGATTCATTCTACTAAAAAAGTGAACGACATAGTAGAATGCAAAGATAAACAAATCCTTGTTCACAATTGAAGCTCCCAGTAAGAGAGAACTTGCCAAACCACTGTGCATGGCAAAGGCCAACTCTGTGAAAACAGCTCTCTTTTTAGAAACAATAGGTCCAACTGAACTATTCGAGAGTTTGTCATGAATGTAGTATTTAAGCCAATTGTTCTCTGGCGAATGGATTGGAGCAAGGCCTGTGTAGATTGGAAATTGAATATTTTGATCGAAATGTTTGTCATACTTGTCAAATTCATTATTATCCATCAATTGCTCTTTCAATAATTTGGCGAGGTATGGCCTCTCTTCCAACATTTTTGCAGCCTCTTGAATGGCGTCTTCAGGAATATTCTCGTTCACTGTAAAGAAATCTTTCATCAACAATTTTGAACGTAATTTGGACAATTTCCAAGTAATGTATAATTGTGTTGGAGACATGAGAGAAGTGTCTCCTCCATTATCTTCTTCAGCTCTTTCAAGAAGATTGTTAGCTCCAAATACCAAGTTTTGTCGTTCCAACTCTTCATCGTACTGTAATGATTGATTTTTTCTTTTCTTTTTTAACAGCTCCGAAAATGTTTTTTCCATTTGAGTGAGTTGTTCATTTGCCTTGATGAATGTTTCTGTTTCCATAAATGATAAATCTATTTCTCCCATAGTATTTCTATAAATTAAATTGTTATGATAATTTCGGAAAGTTGTTGAAGCAACATGTTCACTCTGAGAGTTATGATTTTGTTGTTGAGAAATGTTAACTGATGATCCTTTACACGTATCATTTACACAAAAGAGATTGATCAACAATTTGTTTGAACAACTTTTACTGCTTCTACAACGATGTAATGCAAGTGTTGATGATGGAAATTTTAATGGAGACTTTGTGAAGGCTAGCAAGGCTTTCATTTTTTCAATTTGGTTTTATTTTCGAGTCAAACAACATGTCGTTCGCAATCCTCAATTGTCCTTTAACCAAATCTCAATGGATTCGTTGTTATCTGTCTTTCCTTTGAAACCACCAAAACATCCACTTCGGCTGACGACACTTAAATGGTCATTTCAGATTAAACAGGATCGAAAGATGGCCACAAAGCGAAATATCAGTTCAACACAGAAAGAGCTTTCTCAAAACAAGAAAAAAATTATCATTTGATTTGATAGACAACTGAAACAAACGACTCGTTCAGATATCTCTGCTGTTTGTGCGAGCACATTTGCAAAACCCTTGTAACCGAGAGAGCAAATCTCCCTTGGTTGTGACTGATTAAAACAATTATTAATTATTAACTGGACAATCATCAACAACATTCACCCACACTTTGCACGAATTTTCACGAAGACAACGTTGTGGCAATTTCGATATTTCATATATAAATTATATTGGTTGACTTTGATCAATCGGAAAGAGAGTGAAGATCAATCATATCTGGGACCTCCAAACCCATCACGCTCCTTTGAATACGACGACACCACAATACTTCTCATATTTATCACGTGGTGAGATGCAAAGAGAAATATTACTTGTTTTGGGCCTTATCTGGTCGACTATGGCAACATCTAGCTGTTCGGAACTGAATCAGCTAACCACAGCACAAGAATCACAACACTCACATCAACCACAAGATCCACTGAACCTCATGCATGGAGGAATATTCTCCCACGAATATATCACCTATTCCATCGTGATCATTATCATTTCCATTGGGATGATGATGACACTCCCCAAACTTTCTGCCATGCTCCAGAGATTTCTGCAATTGAAGAAGTTAATTCTCGATTGTCAAATACCCCTTGAAGAAATAGAACCTTTCATTGTGGATGGACAAGTCTTTCCTCCCTACATTAAAGAATTGGGTTGGAAATTCCATGTCCATACAGACAAGAATCATGATCAGGTCCATTCTCCTCAAGACACTTCACCGTTCTTGTTGGGAGAACGAGCGGTCGTCATTGGAGGTTCCATTGCTGGCTTGTTGAGTGCCAGCTGCCTTTCTCCCTTCTTCAAGGAAGTAGTACTGATTGAGCGATCCAAGTACGTTGAGGGAGAATCCGTAGTGAAACATAGGCACGGAGATTTACCTCATATTCTCGTGAATCGAGGGCAGAGCATCTTGGAGAAGCTCTTTCCAGGTATTATTCAAGAGGTGAGAACGAAATCTGCCCAAATCACACTGAATCCATCGTCCCACCAACAATATGAAACGCCCTTAGAAAGAAGAAGTTCCAACACTTGTGATCAAAACGATTTTAAGGCTACATCATCCACTGGAGATTCAATGATCAGCAAAACGCAACAGCAACAATTCTCAGATTCTTCTCAGCAGCAACACAACTCCCAAAAAACTATCCCTTCTCCACCATCACCATCAAGAACTACGTCATCAGCAAAACCTTACTTTGTCATGAAAAATTTTTTCAACGCTTCCGAGCATTTGAAATTGATCTACTCATCGGATCAATCTCAACCTCTCAAACGAGTGCAGAATGGAAATCATGAGGTTACCATTGTATCGAGAGGCATGTGGGAGAGTACCATTCGAGATTATGTATTTAAGGCAACAAAGAATATCAAAGTCTATGATGGTTATCAGGTGTTGTCGAATGGAAAGGGAATTAAGCTCAGAGTGGAGCCAATAAGAAGAGGCTCATCCTCTGATCAACAACGACAACAACAGGAAAACCAAGAGACTCAATCATTGTCATCCACTCAACAATTGAATGTTCAAGTATGTGGTGTGATCATACAGAAAGTTGAAAAATCAAACACAACCACTGGTTCATTAGCAACCACAAGTACTCAACACATTCATCACCACCATACGAAAGGATCTCAATCCAATCACTCTCAAGACGATACCATCGAGTTGGATTGTGATCTAGTCGTCAATTGTGGAGGTATTCATACGTGCGCAGACTACTCTAAATTACTGAAAGGTGTTGAACATGCCATGATCTGGGCAACTGTGGATCCCTCATTGGGAGGTTCGTCGACGAAGACTTTGAGTAGTACTACTATTCATGGCCATGAAGCATGTCAAGAAAATAAGACACAACCACAAAACACTACAATTCCTCCACAACAGCAACAACAACAACTACTCTACTCCACACGAATTAACAACAAGGTTCGATATCATTGTTTTTATTTTGAACCCAAAGACGAGGCGTTTGATTGGTTCGAGAAGGGAATTCCAGGAAAATTATTACGTTCTCCAGTTACCGTTGTACACGATGACGACGAAGAAGATCCGCAAGATCCCAAAGCAAATTCCCAAAAGACCAAGCCCTACTATGCTTTTTATCATCTTTTAACGTATCCTCAAACGAAAGGTGTACTGTGTATACCCATGGAGAGAAACATGTTCATGATCAATCTCATTACCATTGCCGATGAAGAGAAGGAAAACAATCGAAGAATATCTGAAGGATTGACCTTAGAAAATGCCAAAGAACGAATCATTGAATACTATGCAAAAGGTGCTCCCTTCGAGAAGGATCTCATTAGCGTTTTGAATTGTATGAAAGATCAACCCATCCGAATACCACCTCCCTACGAAAAAGAAGGGAACATGTTTGTTCATTACGAAGAATTGTTGCATTATGAGAATCCTATGAATCATCATGAGACGTTTTTAAGTGGTTTCATTGCCATGGGAGACTCCGTTAGTTCCATGAATCCAGTCTATGCTCAGGGAATGACCACGTGTCTTGAATCGACACTAATATTGAGAGAGTCAATTAAGGAATTATTGGCTCAACAATTGAAAAAGACTGTATCAAGGTGCACGAATAAGCACACGCCGAAGAGAGAAGAGCTTGCTCAATCTGTGCCCACTACAAAAGGCTCTTCCGTATTTGATCATGAATTCTGTTCCAAATTCCAACAAGCCATTTACTACATGTTGTTCATTCCTTGGCTCATGACCTCGTCCGATGATATTCGATATTGTGATACTGAGATACCAGATCGTAAGCATGCTCCCTCTTCCTCACGGCAGCAACCTTCTCGACATGACAATAGCCATATCAACCATTCCAAAACCTACTCGAGAAGTTGCCGATGGCAAAAGTACATGGTCGCTCCCTTATTAGATTTCATGCTGTATCATATCTTTTCGTCGGGAAGTACTACAGAGATTGTAGCGAATTACTTTTATACCATTCTTAATATGCAAGATGGATTTCGGTAAGTGTTGGGTGTATTTGTGCAAATTGTATTGATAGGTAGCTGTTTTCAAACAACTTGATTTCGTGATGTTAGATATGCTTTTGGAAATGCTTTCATCTTGATGAGATTTGTTTTCAAAAGACACTGTTTCCTTCTACTGATGTTGATGACGGTACTTGTGTTCCTTCTCTTCCTCTTTCTTTGGAAACGGTAAATTCCACAATGAAACCTTGCCAGCTGTTTGACTGGAGAATTGTAAAAGAACTCACTCGGAACACTTTAGTGGTAAATTCAAATTGAATGAGGAACACACTTGGCTGTATCGATTCATGAGTTTTTGCGAATAAAAAATTCAAAGCATTTGGCTAAGCACTTCCACAAAGAAGATTCATAAAAAATCAAGTGGTACGTAGCGCGAGAGTGTTTGTGAGGCTGATTCTGTTGATTGGATAACAACGGAAATTTAATTTTTTGCCTGATGATTATGATGATAATATGGAACAACCTCATGTGTGTGTGGGTGGGTCTGTACCTAATTCATTATTTTGATCATCATGATGGGTACCCTATTGGCTCTTCTTCCACTCTCGCCAATTCCAATGACGCCTATTTGACCTATTCGATTGATCCACGATGATGTTCCTTTTTCCTATCTGATTTTACAATGTTTCATCAAATTGTTGAACCTCCATGAATGATGATAAAATTGTCGTGCCTCTAACCACCCATTATAACCCATCCTCATCTGTTGCTGGTCCCCACTTGCCCCAAAATCTCTAATTTTCATCCTTGTGTGGCGAATCCTTTGCACAATTACAATCAAACGAATAATCACGAAAAAACATCTCTCTCTGGTGCCTCCAACTCCTTCGGCATTGTGGAATTTTGAAACAAATTCTATAGTACTATGCCAGAACTTGATACAATTATTCAAGAAGCTCAAGGACAGATTGGGCAACTGCAATCTCGTCTCCAAGGATGTCTCGGTACTGATGTCTCCATTGTTGTGGACTGGGCCACCTTTGAACAAAATATTCAACAAGACCTTCTTCCCTTCTCCTACGAAGTTTTGTGCTCATGGAATGGATTCTTGGTTCTTGGTAAAATTGTTGACACTGTTCAAACCATGATTCAAGAGTACGGAGGAAATGCTCGTGAAGTGATTGCTCGTCAATTGGCACAAGTTAGACTTCAATGCATTGCTATTCCTCCACCAAAACCAGTCGGAAAAGAATTAACCACGGCAGAGAAACACAAACAAAAATTGGAAGAGGCCGAGAATCCAACCATTAGTTTGAAGGATGGCGCCATGACAGTCTCCGTTCAGTTAGGTTTGGGTGCTTCCGGTGTTCCAAGTTATTCCTACGTGAGTGAGACTTTGAATGCCCTGTTCGGAGTGAGTTCTGCCTATTATAAAAAGGTTTTGGAGGATCGTATTGCCAAGACTAAGGAAGAAATTAAGAGAGAAGTAGACGATCCAAACTTTGATATTGAAATTGTTTTTGATTGGGAAAGTTTCCAAAATGCTGGAAATATGGACTCGGCATTGAATAATATGGGTATGTATTTGATTGATCATTGCAACATGAGTTATTTACATTATTACATCATCAACGATATCTCTGCACATATATATTTATTCTCACACACAAACGTTTATGAATACAATTCCCAAACATTTTTAACTTGCTATGACAAAATATGCAACACCTCGTCCGAACAAATAACTGAACCACTACAGCTCGTTGGGATTGTTGGTACTCCCTTCAAACATTGCCACGTGCTTTCAGATGGGCCAAGTCCGATTATCCTGTCACTCACGAGCGCTTGAAGCAATCCCTCAAGAAGGTTGTCTTTTCCAATGCCGAAGATGACGGTGTTGAGAGAAGATACTGGCACAGTTTTGCCATGTTGACCAATGGAACATTGGAAATGAGAGGTGTCTACAGAGAATATTGGGGATACATTTACAGCTATGATGTCACACGAGCAGTTGCTTATGGATGCATTCTCGATGAGGCTGATCAAGCTTTTGAAAACAATGAAACCCTAGATAATGAAAAATTGGACCTTTTGGTTCGTGCTGTTCGTGAAATTTGTTCCTCTAGCGCAGTCAGATACGGAAACTTGAAGCCACTCATTGAGCTCTCAAAGAGAAAATGCTTCCCTCAATTGGACGAAATTGATCAAGAGGCTGTTGACATTTGCTTGAAGACCTACCACAAGGAAGTCATGTGCAAGAGTAACAAGAAAGACGAAAAGAAGGATAAAAAGGACAAGAAGGAAGAAAAGAAAGAAGAAGACGACGAGGACGGAGATGAACCTGTGCACGAAGAAGAGGAAGGTGAAGAGAAAGAAGAGAAGCAAGAATATAAGGAAGGCACTCCATTCCCAGAGACTGTGATTAAGGCCTACTCAATCAACAAGACCAACTTTAGAGGCCAAGTTCAAGCTCGTCTTGCTGTCATTACTAACAAGGCTCTCTACACATTTGCCTTCGACTACAAGAAGAAGGAACTCATTAAGAGAAGAGCTCACCGTTATGTGTACAATAATATTTACTCTACTCGATATGGACCTCTCAGAGATGACAATGTTCAAGTCGTTGGAGGTGCTGCAGGTGCCATTGCAAACGCTGCTCAAGACTTGATGAAGGACTTGTCAAACTATGGTCTCAAGATTTACACAAACATTATCACTTCCATGAAGGAAAGAATGACTGAAAAGGCCATCTCAAAGGCAGTCAAAAAATTTGTCTTCAAGATTTTGAAATTCCTCGTTGAAGATGTTCTCACTAAAGCCATCGGAACTGAAAAGGAACCTGTTGTTGACATTCCTGGTTTGCCAAAATTCAACAGCCCTGGTTTCTTACTGAGAACTGCTGCTACCAGCTTGTACAGAGATAAGGTTGACACTCAAATCAGTGTAAATGGCCTCGCACAAGCCAATGTGGCCCACTCCTTGGAAATTGCTGGAGAAATGTTTGACACACTCTCAGAGACCATTGAATTGGATCTTCCAAACTTGCCAAACATGAAGTTGACTACTTTGCTCATTCAAATTTGTGACATTTTAGAGCAGTACAATGACGATATGGATTTGAACATCCCAAGCTCTATTACTATCAGTTCCCTCATCAGAAGTATCAACTCTGCTGTCTACAAATTGGAACAATCAGGCAAAAATCCAACTCTCGAATTCGAACAACCAAAAGAGTTACCATATCAAGACATGATTGGATTGTTGAAGGGTGCTTTGGAAAATTACAAGAATAAGACTGAATTTGACAATACTGCCATTAAGAATTTGGCTACTGGTGAATCATTCCCCAAGTTGCCTGACCTTATTGAACAATTGAGCTCTGTTGCAGTACCTCATATCAAATTCGATCCATATCCACCTGTACTTGTGGCAGCTATTTTGAAGGCTATTGCTGGATATCTTGGTAAATTCAACTTACCAGGTCTTAACTTGCTTGAATTGAAGATTCCAGGACTAAGTTTGCCAGGTTTGCCAAGAATTAGTTTACCAGGACCACCATTACCAGGTATTCTTTCCAGACTCAAGCCTCCAAGCGAACCTTCAAGAGAAGAGTTTATCGTGCAAGTCAACAATCCAAATAAGGCATTGTCCAAGTTTTTGAGTGCTCAATTCTGTTATCTCATCTATGGTGCGCAATGTAATGACATGTATCCTTACTGGCCTTGGAGTCCATATGAAACGAGCTGGATTTCCGTTCCAGTTTCTGTTGTGTCAATGATTTACAACAAGTCTGGTGGTAAAGGAAACAAAGATAAGGCTGAGAAGAAGTAATTAGTTTGTTTAAAATAAAACATGTGCAATAATTTTTTCTATAACCATCTTCATAAAGCCATTCTACAACAAACCCTCAAACACCAGTCCTTTATCATGTCAAAGTGATTCAAACTCATACAAATGTTGGCCCGTACAGATGATGCTTAATTCCTATTCCTTACTGATCGCTTTGTCACTAGACGATTGTTGCTGATTTTCATGAGCACTATTGTAATCATCTTTCCAATAATAATACAATGGAATGTGTGAATTGTGACCAAATAAACTGCCGTACTTGTACATGTACACAATTATTCCACACAGCACTCCAATAATTGTTCCAACAATGACTTGCGTCCATGTATGTTGGTAATCCAATACTCTTGAAAACACTCCAATCCAAATTAAGCATGCCAAAATTAAAAGCGCAACAAATGGAAAGAAAAGAATACCTCTTCGGGCAGTGCTTGTAAGTGTTCCATTTCTGTGATCTTGTCTATTTCGATCTTGCGCCAGCGAGAGCTTGTTGTTTCGAAAGGTTCAATTTTTCGACAAGTGATACGTTGTCAATTTCCAATCGTTACTTCATTTCCCCAAAACATTAACTTACAGCCTTTGTTTTTGCAAACACGTAGAGCAAGAGAAAAATCCAAACAGCAAACAAATTTGCTGCATGTCCACTTGGAAATGCTGGAGTATTATTCACTTTCATTCCTCGATACTTTTCTGGTTGTGAGCAAATTTCATGAGGTAAATAATACACAACTGTATTGAAATGATTCGTACGTTCGTTTTGGAGGGCTTGAACTTTGGCAGCAATGGGATTACATTCTTGAAGAAAGCTAGGTCTGTAATCGGGATAAAAAAACCAAAAAAACATCATGAATAACATGCTGAAACCTATTATGGAATGGAATATTTAGAAACAACAATTGTTGTTTTTTTCAAGTATTTTGAATGATGAATATTGTTATTCATTCCAAAATGTCAACATGTCACAATTTTTTTTAAACCAATGAAGGCCATTAACAATGATTGAATGGAATATTCAGAATTGAAATCAATTGTATACATCCAATGACATACTTACACAACGATTGAATATATCCCAATAACATGTGATGCGTATCATGTAAATTCCTCACAAACACCAATTGAAACAACAACAAGGATCCAATCGGAATACACACCACAAATGCAATCACAATCAAATTAAAAGGAACTGTTTGAATTCCCAATAAGGGATATCCAATTCGAGGATCATCCAATCGAAAGTACAAGGTTTGGGGATATGGTACCTGGAATAAAATTGCTGCAATAATTCCTACCACAAGGATCACGAGCCATTCCATGATATAATCAAAGACAATTTGTGTCCAATTCGATTTTGAGTAAAAATCCTTTTTTAGGTTATAGGAAGAACTAATGAAATGAGGATTGAAGACATGTTGTTGCAATGATTGAGTCGTCTCGTTCCTTGTTGGATGTTCATTCAGTTCATGAACCATGTCATGATTCTTGGGTTCTTGCAACAATGAATCATGGTGGTGGTGGTGTTGTGGTGGTGAAGAATTTCCTTCTTCTTTGGTATGTTTGAAAGGAGGAGCAACAACAACAGCTGCTTCTCTCTCGTGTTGAGGTTTGAAAAAATTATGATACGTTTTTCGTGTCAAGATGAGAAAGGTTAAGGCAGAAAGAAAGGATTTGAATGATACACCACTACCACGAGAAGGTGAAGATTTCATACTGCTGCTTGGTTGTGTCTTGACTTGATGTGAAATAATTTCTGGTAAGCTTCCAGGTTGTGCTTGTGTGGGAATTGCCAAATTAACTACTACGGAAGGATGGTTTCGTTCTTCAATAAGAGGAGGTGTCTGCAAAGATGATTGAGAAGGTTTTTCATCTTCAATAAAAGTTTCAGCAGCATTCGGAGGATTGTGGTGCGATTGGAGTGGAAAAGGATGAGAAGAGATGTTCGTTGTGGAGGAGGAACCAAAAGGAGTAATCGAAACAGTGCTAATGGTCAAGGGTTGTTGTTGCATTTTGTTTTTTCTTTAAAACTTTTTGAATCTGTACTTGAAACTCGTTGAAAAAGGAAATTTAACAAAGCTGTGGAACCCACTTCACTTCTTCTTCTTCTTCTCGACAAGATATCACAAGGCGATCAATTCCATGCTTTCAGAGCGTTGGATTGATACTCTGGGACATTATTTGAGCTCAATTTTCGAACGGATGTATAAACTCACGCACAATATATGTGGCCACATCAAAATGTCAACTGCCAATTCCGGATAAAAGCGTGTCCACCACAAACTTCTCAAACTCAAAAAATATTCACAAATGTTTCAAGGTCATTACGGTCCAGCTGGCGTGATTCATTATTTCTTTCCCGACGTCAGTTTGGTATGGCTCATGATTTCGACACAACTCATTGACATTGTGTATTTTTCACTTCAAGTCTTGTGCAAAACATTGTGTCAAATGAATGTTCAAGAATGTTCCTATCCTTTCATTTGTCATGAATATGCCACATTCAATGTGGAGAGAATGAGAAAGAATGCAGTTTTTCCTTCGGATATTCATTCGGAATATACTCATTCATTGACAGGTTCTTTGGCATTGGCTTTGATTTTTACAATACTCTATCGAATGTTTCAACACTCAACAACAACAACACGAACGAATCAAAATCATCGATCCTTCTGGTCCTTGTTTTGTATTCTCTTTTTAGGTGTAGTTTCACATTGGGTATTGGATGTTCTTGTTCATCGACCAGACGTCACCATCTTCCCACCTTTTACTACAGCCATGATTGGATTGGGAACTTGGGAAAATTGGTCAAAATGGGGCAATACATGGTTAGAGTGGTTCTTTGTGTGGTTGGGAATGATTGGCATTTTGGCAGCAAGAGCTAGAGCGAACAAGCTTGATCGAACGTTTTGGTTGGCCTTTGTAGTGTATGGAATTTCAGCGACAGGTCTGAATTGGTTTGCTTACTTTGGTGATGATACTTCCGAGAGGGCAGACCAAGTGGTCGATGGTGCTGCAATGTCTCCAGATTTGGTTCCTCTCATTTCAGTCTTGTATGTCTTTGCTTTTAGTGTTTCCTACTATTTAGGTTCCAATAATATGAAAAGTGAGACAAAGAAGGTTGATTAAGGGTGAAAATGCAAAATATTCATTCGTAAAATACATCCATTTCCGCAGGATTAGAAATTCTTTTTAGTAGTAGTTTAAAATCCATTCATATATCATCAGTTTCAATGACAGTATTCATACGTTCACTTGGATGTCATGAATGTGTTGAAAGAAAATCGCCTTTGCAATTCCATGCAATATTGCATTACATGAAATACTCACATTCCATAATTCGGTATTGATGTTGTTGTTGACATCACTGTCATGCACTATCTCCATCCATATTTCTTCTTTGCAGAGGAATTGCTTTGTCTTGATTTTTCCAATCTCTCAGCCATTTCCAATTCTCTTCCGGTTGCTTGTTGAGCCAGGAATGAAATTTGATTTTTGGTTTTTGCAACCTTCACACGATGTTTGTTTCCTGCGCCTTCAACTGTAAAGTTGAACTGTTTAAGAGCATCTTGTTCATCCTTTGTCATGTAAATTTCTCTCTTGTGTTTTTCAATGAGAGCTCTTCTTCTTTCTACTTCTAAATTCACCAACTCGCTAGACCCATTTTCTCCCACGTCCACAATATCGACTTCTCCAAGTTGGTCTACATCAATACCTTGACGTTTCATTTCAGCGAGAATATCTTCAGGAATGGACTTGGGGTTTGTAGTGCCCTGCTCGTCTTGAACGTCCTTCAAGTTGTTATAAATTTCTTCCTCCTCTTCTTCGTCCATTCCCAGATTAAACTCATCCTCATTATCATCCAAAGGCATGGTTTCTTTTGATTTTGGAAGATACAACTTGTTGCTCATTTCATCGGTATTGTCCGTCTCTTGATCTGAAAATGGAGAAGACGAGCCTGCTTCCGATTTTTGTTTCTTACTTGTTGAATAGTACATTTGATCCTCTTCATCATTGAAATCTCCATCATCGTCATCGAGAAATCGTTCTTGTTCTTCAAATAATTTTCGTTTACTTGTGGCTGTTGTTGTTTCAGATGAATCTTTGGGATTATTAAAAAGAGAGTGTTCAGCGAGTTTCATCAAGAGAGCTTTTTTAGTACTTGATACCTTCTTTTGCTTTGTTTTTCTTTTACCTTCTGCTGTGATAGTGGAAGAGGATGATGATGAAGTGTTGACTCGGCTTGTGTTGTTTGTGTTCTCCGTATTATTGGGAGCATTTATAACGGTTGATGAAATTGTTTTGTAATTAAAATTTGAAACTCCAACTTCATCGTCTATGGATTCAATGATAACTTCGTCTTGATCGGATTGAATTTGATTTTTCGTGCTTGTTGTAACCAAAGACTCAGCTTGTTTGAAATTATTATTCAACACCACCGATGGTGCACTGTTGGTTTTTTCAGCATTGTTCTTGTTGTTGGTTGGAGCAGAGAATGATTCATCCTCGGAATCAGATCCATACTGCGCAAGTGATGAAAGCATTTTTTTTGGTTGAATCTGGAAGGTTTCGATGACTGAGCAATACAAAAGAAAGGCATTATATCTTACGAAATTAAGAGTGACACACAAGGGACGAAACACCACCAATACACCAATAAACTTTGGCTCAAGTTAAACCACCGTGTGTCATTTTAATTTTGAAAAGATATTAATTAAGGTCACGTTTTATTCAATTCCTTCAAGAGAATTAAAATAACAGTGATGTTATCCATGGAACCATCTTTGAGAGCCTTTTCAACAAGTTTTTCACATGCTTTCCTTGGATCTTTGAATTGTTGAAGGTAATTGTAAACATGTTTGACTGCTTCTGCTGAGGACATGACGTCCCACAGACCGTCACATGCAATAATAATAAAGTCAGAATCTTTGGTGAGAATGAAGTGAGAAACATCGGGAACAACGCTCACAAGATTTGAACCCTTCTTTTTAAACTCAAAATCTCCAAAAGCTCTAGAAACTGCCAGAGCTCCATTCACTCTTCCGAAGGAAACTATTCCTCCATTTTTTTCAATCCTCAATCGTTCGTCCTTATTGTTAGGTTTATGATCTTCTGAAAGCTGAATGGCAAAACCTTTATGAGCGAGAACACACCTCGTGTCTCCGAGATTTGCCACAAATAAATCATCATTCCTTAACACACAAACATTAGCTGTACAACCAGCATAATATTCCTCGGCTGAAAAAAGTGAATCATCTGAACCTCCAAACAATTTTTGCTTAAATTCCATGTCACAAGCCTCAAAACTGATATCGAAAAAGATCAAAGGATCAGAATATTCCCTTGAAAGGGTAATGCATGCCAAGTGACTTACCTCTCAACAAATGATCTTACAATATCTTGCAAGAAACATCGATTCTTTGCCAAAATTTGAAATAATGTCTATCCATATGAATAAACGTAAATATTGAGTGATAACGAGAAGAATACACGAAAAAAGGACACCATTGAAGTGAATAGGTAAAAAAGCAATTCAAAACAACCTACCTCCTTACAATGTTGTGCACATTCTGAGCCACAATGGCCATCAAAAACGCCAAACATTGCATGAAATCTAAATGTTGGTGGCTGACCGAGTGCCTCTTCAATGTTCTTCACAAAGAAGTGCTCGTCTTCCATTGAGGGTCTTTTGCCTTGTGCGCTTGCTGAAGAATAGGAGAGCTTTCGAGATTGATTGTTGAAAAGGTTGTCGTAAATGCCAGAGATGGATGGGATTGCATGAACGGATATACATCGGTGCAAGGGATTTTTGACCTTATCAATTTTTAATTCCTCCATAATGGACTTTTTACTGGGGGTTGTCGAACTTTTACTGCTACCGTTGCTGCTGGCAGATGACGATGATGAAGAAGAAGGTGAAGAAGAGGCGCTCAAATGTCGAGTGATTTTACCCATGCCATTGTTAGCCGAAGATTGAACATTTCTTCGCGGTTCAATGGCTGTATTCGAACTTCGAACGAGAGGAGATGGAATTTCTTTGAATGGAGAGGTTAACGCGCCAGGAGATGTCAGAACTGGTGAAGTCTGTGCAGATTGTTGTTGTTGACTTGACTTGGGAGGTGTTGACGGGATCATTGATAAGGCTGTTGATCGGAATACTTTGGGTGATGTTATTCCATTTTCCATGAGAGGTTTTTTCGATTTTCCAGATGGTGTTCTTGGCCCAGAAGTATTAATGACAGACATGGTATTGTGTTGTACGAAAGTGGCGTTCGTAGAGGTAGAGCTCCCAACTGGTGTCTTGCTGTTAGAGGGAGAGGTCATTATGGATGATCCATTGGAATAATTATTGGGAGAGGTCAAGGCACTCGGAGATACCATGTTTGAGGGTTGTGCTTCATTTCCTCCCGAATGGCTCGGAGGTACAAGCCCAAAACCTCCCTGATAGGCTCCAACATGAATCATGGCTGGCCTCTTAACCGCTTTCTGAGGGGATCCCAATGGCATGGTATTATTGCCAATGAGACTACCTGAGTGATTATTGTATGGTTGATGGTGATGCTGATGCTGACCATTATTGTTGTTCATGTTCATTGAATGATGTTGTTGTTGTTGTAGCTGATGTGATGTTGGAGAAGAGAGAACTACTGTAGAGGATGCTACGGTAGGGTGAGCGGTGAAACTACTCAAACCCACTGGTCGCATTTTTTCGCTTGGTCTTGAAAGGGTTCATTTCCAAGGGTAATACTATTGGGCAGCATATACTGTAAACGAATGAACTGATAGCCGCATACTAGTATATACTCTCAATGTACTATCTATTGAGGGCATCCAACTTAGTAAATGGACATCACCTTGTTGTTTCAATTGTTGTTACAGTAAATCGGGGCACACAATGTACAAACACTATTGGGTGATGAAGTTGATTTCATGACGCGTATGTGTTTTATAAGAATGCAGAGTTGACTTTGGCTTGTTCATAGAGCTCTTTCAATCGAGTTTCGAGTTCTTTTCGTTCATTTTCGTCCTTGCAAATATTGAGTTCTTCTTTGACACTTTCAATGAGAGCTCGGAAAAGCATTTCGTCTTCGTCACTATTTCCAAATCCTTCATAATTGTCATTGAGAGAACTTGGAACAATCATTTGAGGATATGAGAGTGATTGGAAGAAGGATGAATCGTTATGAGCTGCTTCGCGTGGAATGGAGATTTTTGAGGAGGCCGAAGTGGTCTTTTTCGCTGGTGAATCTGAAGTGGCAGAATCTAAGAAATCAGTAAAGTATTCTCCTTCTCCATTTTCAAGAGCAACTTTCATTAAAAAATATAAAATGTCCAAAATAATAATAATAATAGGTTAGGAAAGAAATATTGTTAACAACTCGCTTGTTGAAATTGAAATCAATGTATGAACTTACTTTGTCGACCCTTCTCTGTCACAACACCAACATCATTCTTGTGTGCCATTGAACCCTTTGGAATATCCTTATTTTCCAATTCCTTATCATTGCTCACAAGCACATTGTAAAAGAAGATGCAAACAGAGTCATACATAAAATCGGGTCTTGCACTATTGTGGTCACCTTCAAATCGAATCATATTCTTGTCACCTGCATAGGTTTCATAGAGCTTTTCAGAGTGATGAATTTTGATAAAATCGTCATTCTCTGCATGGGCAAAAAGTGCAGGAACAAAACAAGAGCCAGCACATTCAATAGGTGCACACGAACGAATATCAAAACCTGCTTTGCCAATAATTGATTTTCTAATAAGATTAATACCCATTTTGATCATCTTTTTCGGTATCCAAGATTGATAAGAGTGAACAAGTTCCATTGATAAATCTTCCAAAGATGTGAATGGACTGTCAACAACAATTCCAGCAATACTTTGATCTATGGATGCATACATGATGGATGTGGCAGCACCCATCGATCGTCCCCACAATCCAATTCTACTCACTCTCTTGGTTGACCATAAATATTCAACAATTGTTCCAACATCTTGCTTTTCGTAATTTCCAAGTGAAACATAATCTCCTTCAGATAAGCCAGATCCGGTAAAGTCAAAAGCAAAAACTGTGATATTGTATGGAAGTAAAATGCTGTTCACGTTGATTGTGATTTTGTGTTTGCATGAAGCAGCAGTCCAAGAATTGACATGTCCGTTCATTCATGAACCAATCAGATCAGTAGTGGAGGTGAGGTCAGTGACATACAAAAATATTAATATTCAATGATCGTGACACGTGAGGTGACAAAGTAGCATTTGGGTACGGATTGTATTAATTGACCATACAGTATTCCAAATCGTCAATAATCGCAAGACAATGATATTATTAATAAGATGATAGTCAAAATATAAAATCAAGTCATAATTCCAATACTCACCTGACAGCATCCAATGCATCACATCTTGATCCACAGTTACCATGACAATAAATCACACAAGGTAACTTTTCCTTTGTTCTTTGCGATTCTATGGGTTGATAATGCGAGCATTCAATAACTTTTCCTCTCGAATTTGTCAACTGAAAATCCTTTCTTTCAAAAATTCGATTATCAAGAGTAAATAATTTAGGTCCGAGTGCAATCGAGGGTTCATATATACACCGTTGTGGTCGGATGATCAAGTTACAAATTTCATCCCACAAATTTCCAATGTTTTTAATATTAAAATTCATCGTGATGAAGATGGTATGGTACAGACAGATGATAGGACGGGATGAAGAAAGAAGAGTGGAAAGCGTCCGTTTTAATAGAATGATGGGTTCAGTAACCTATGAAGTTCTTTTCTGATGTGAGAGGGGTGTTGATGATGATAGCAGTTGGAATGAGACTATGATGATGATGGTTCAAATAAATCCAAATGACAGGAGGAGATGTAGAGAATGGATATCGGGTTCAGCAACCAATGATTATCATTCAAAACATCAAATACAAATCATGAAAACATACGTTTTGGAAAGAGTTTCAATGATGGTTCAATATACAATCTCTCAAGACGAACAAATCAACACAACCGATAGAAATGGTTCTCTATGGAATTTTGAAAATAAACCAAATGATAGTAAATGTAAATAGGATATGACATCATCACGCTTTAAAACAAACATACCCAAACACGACACAATTGTTGTCAAAAAGAATTCTGGTCGCTCCTCTAGTAGTGTTGTAGACGGAACCGACCGGACGCGATGGTAATTTTTTCGATAGTTATGTCTGACTTTTGATTTCGCATACCCTCGACTTTCTAAAGAGTCAACAACACATGTGTTTTAGACTAATTTAATACCAAGTTGGTCACTTTATATGCAAGACCATACTCGAATGATCTTAATAGAAAAATTTGAGTTTCTTTTGCTTATTGTTGTTGTGGTTTGCAAGGACATTAGCATTGTCCGTGCCAATTTGATTATAAATCAAGTTCAGTTCCATCAAATTTTTTAAATTCACACCGTTGAGTATGAGTTGAGCTCCTTTAGAACCAATACAATTATCATACAGATTTAACGCTGTGATATTTTGTAATGTTTGGCTGTTGGCGATGAATTTAGCTCCTTCAGCATCAACACGGTTAGTGGACAAGTCTAACAATGTCAAGTTCTGCAAATTCTCACTATTGGCAATGTAGTGAACTCCAGTTGAAGTAATGCCATTCCCTCTCAGTCGTAAGATTCTTAAATTCAACAAATTGACACCATTCGCAATGTACTGAGTGCCAGTGTCGTTTATGTTGTTGGAAGACAAATCTAATTGTGTCACACTTTTCAAATTCGGGCTCTTAGCAATTTGCATCATGCTTTCAGAGCCAATATTATTGCGTTGTAAATATAGTTCTGTTAAATTCTTTAAATGTACACTGCTGGTGATAAATAAGGCTCCGTCAGATCCAATATTATTGCCAGAGAGATCAAGTGTTTTAAGATTCGTTGTGTGTGGACTAGACGCAATGCACGTTGCCCCTTTCGTGCCAATATCGTTATCACACAAATTGAGAGACGTTAGATTTTTCATAATTTCACTACTTGCAATAAAGGAAGCACCATCAGAAAGTATGCCTGTGTCTATCAAATGGAGTACCTTTAAATTTTTAACATTTTCAAAATTATCGGCAAAATATTTAGCACCACTCGGACCAATAGCATTCCAAGACAAATCGATGGTTATTAAATTTTTTAAATTCTCGCTCTCAGCAATATGTTTAACCCCAATTGGGCCAATAAGGTTGGAGCTTAAATCCAAAGTTTTCAAGCGTTTCATCTTCTCGCTAATAGCAATATTTTTAACAGATTCACAGTTGATTTGTGAGCAAGATAAATACAATGAAGTTAGCTTGTCCATGCATTTGGTAATGCTGTTAATGGTAGAAGGGACGAGTTTGTTACCAGATAAATTCAATGAGGTGACATTTTTCATATTCTCAGCAGTTACAATGAGCTCAATCTCATTGGGCTTCATATTATTGTGTGATAATGAGAGAGATGTCAAATTCCTTAAACTCTCACAATGAGCAATGCATTTCAAACAATGCTGACCCATACTTCTGCGTTCAGAAATTGATATGGTGAGTGGAATGTCTAATGATTTACTATTCCATTGTTTTGAAACTCTCATACACACACGTAAAATAAATTTCCAATCAAGAAATCGTAAAATCTCAAACACCATATCATCCATTTGAAATAAATTGGCAAAATTAAATTTTTCTGAATCGAGTATGTCCGCGCATATATTTTCATCATTTTCAATTTTATCACTGTTGCTTGTTATCGTGGGAGATAGTTTTCTCTTTTTCGGTTCTCGGAGTGTCATT